TTCAAGAAAATACGTAGTAGTACATACCTCTGGATAATTATTTAATATAATTTAAATTTTTAAAATTATTATTTTAACTAAAAGAGCAAATCTTTATACCTATATATCAAGTGTGCATTGCAGGATTGTCAAAAAATGGCGATATATAGGTCTCATATAGTTATTTTAACCGAAAATCGACTTATACATACATAAAACTATATTTTAAACGTGCGTGTGGGATAAATCGATATCCTGTTTAATATATCGATTATTATAATCAGCAAAAACAGCAATATTATTCAATAAAAATACATATGTAATTTATTTTTTAATAAAATCGAGATATATCGATATCCTTGTTAATATTTCGAACCATAATAATCAGCAAAAAAAAGGCAATATTATTAAATAAAAAAAGAGTATAATTTATTTTTTGATAAAATCGATAATTTAAGGAAAAATTAGATATTTTTTTATATTTTATATTTTTATATTTTAAATTTCTATTCATCAAAGTTTACAATATTTTCTATATAATATCAGGCATAATATTTTTTTCGATATATTTTTTTTCGATATACTTACATTCTAAAAGCAATGCCTATGCCCTTTTATTTCCTATTTAATTTTTTATTGAAATATCTTCCTTTTTTTCTCAGTGTACAAATCGTATGTGGCCAAAATGTGTGAGTGGCTTTGCGCAGATTCAGAACTTTTTGTCTGTCAGCCTTTGCCTTTTGTCTAATTATGTGTTTATCTTAATTCCATAAAAATACATGTCAGTTTGATAAACTCCATGGACACATGTACATGTACATATATGAAAGTTATATACACCGCTTAAATAATTCGCATATTGAGAACTTCATTTCCCCCAGAGAAAGTAAGTTTCTACTTGAAATAAATGAGATTTCCATTTAAACAGCTTCAAAGTTGTGGGAAAAGATCCATTTAAAGCGCCATAACTTCCTGTAACTACCATAAAAGCTGTGCTGCGGCCATAAAGTCAAATTGAGAGACGAAAGTCCGCATTAAGCCAAGGCCAAGAGCTATATCTGTACCTGTGGCCGGCTCAAAATAAATCTATTGAGCAGCAGGAGAAGGGCAAAGCCAGCCAGCGGACCAGCGAGCAGCAGCTAAGGATTTTGGCCCGATGAAAATAGAAGCATTTTGTTTAAAATGCTGCCTGCCAGCTAGCAATAGCTACATAGAATCACCCAATACCCCCATATATGCCTTGCCGCTCCTCTTAATTAAGGCTCCCTCCCGTTTGGGACGCCCAAAATGGTTCGGTTATTGAGCCTGTTTAAGCCATCAATTGCCATTTGGTGGGCCCAAATGAATTTACGATTACGGACCAGAGAGAACGAGACCAAAAGCTGGCTGGCTTCGTGTGTTTCCTGGACTTGGCAGAAACTGAAATTGATTTCCACAGGAGCGCAATTCACTCTTGATTGTTCTGGCGGATAATTGGTTAAGTTTCTTGTAGAGCTTCGGTGGGTACGATGGAGATTGTGCCTCTTTTTTTATGGTCCCAGGGATTGTAAATAACGAATCTTGTGGTCTGGCTTCCCTCTTAGAGTTGGAACTTTCATTGAGGGGCTTGATTTACTGGGAGGAGGATTCATTTGGATTGATTGATTGCCTTGGCCAGGTGGAAAATTCTTCAATTTATGGTAATTGTTCAGTTAATAGAGTTTGGGTAGAAGAATTCACAAGTTTTAAGGGTTTTGTTGAATATTCTATACTTTTTCTAGAAAAACCAACTCTTGTCTAATTTTCAGGCAATTTTAATAAAACAATGACTCTTCCAACTATTGTAATAGTTAGAATTTAAAGAGAAAATTTCAGAAAGGTGAAAATTGAGGCTTTTATTCATGGAAAAATGAATTTAAGAACGCTTTTCCAACCATGAAAATGAAAATGCTGCAGCTGATGTTGAAAATTTTTTACTGTCGCCGCCGGGAGCCTTGAGGATTTTGTTCTTTTACGGCTGCCTTCCATCCACCTTAAACATATTATGGATATGGTGGTGGCTTGTGTTGACCTACAGTATCTCCCGGTGGGATAATCGCTGGACTTGGACCAGGACCAGGACCAGGGCCAACAGGCCGCAAGGTCATCGTGTAGGTGACTCGCCCAAGCCTTAGTCACCCTTCCTTTACTCCAGTTCTTAGGTGCTTGGTTGTGGTCGCCCTGCTCCTGGTTTTTCCTGATATCCCTGATGCTATTGATGATCCCAAAGGGTTTCAAACTTCATTTCGTGGCCATGGCCAATGTCAAACAGAAGGGGGTGGGAGAGAGTGGTATTCAAGGCACTGAGAGAAAGCATTACCAGTTCTAGGACTTGACTTTAAAGGATTCTTGATTTTATTTAGGAGTTTTTAAGCTGAAAATCCACCTGAAAAAACATATTTTTAAAGCATTTAGTTTTTGGAAAACCTTTTCTCTTTGTGTATGTACTGCTTCAGAGAGAGGCAACAATTATCTGTGTATTTTATATTATTTACTCTCCTTTGGCAGCGTCAACACAGGGGCCAGAAGTAAACAAATAAATAAACAAATCAGCAAAAAGCAAATTGCAAATGGCAAATGGCAATTGCCAGCACAGAGAAGGAAAGCTATAGAGAGGGGAAAACTTTCCGTCATCGCACTTTTCCCCCTCAGCATACATATTTGCATTTCCCGGCTCTCTCGGCTGGCGTCTGTGTCAGCGAAAATGAAGTTATTAAAAGTTGGGCCCTGGCCCCAATACCAACTTCCCAACTGGCAACCTCCAGCTGCTGTCATTTAAATGCTAATTACATGCGAATATGTAAAAAGAAAAGAAAAAAAGCAACAAAAAACAAGAGCAAAACTAACAACAAGCTTCAGTTGCGAAATGAAAATGGTGCAACAAAAGAGCAGCAATTAAAACTGGGCGACCTTTCGCCATCCTCCCCCTCCTCGCCCAAGTCCACCCCTGTCGCATCCATTGTCCACCCAGCCACCCCGCCAAGGACACGGCCTGGCGACAACGCGGTCGGCGTTCCAGACACCCAGCACTTTGTTGTCGCCACATCATCCGCAGCCGCAGTCATAGCCACAGCCATCGCCACGCCATCATACACACAATCGTCCATTAGACACTGACAGAAACAAGAAGGAAATAGTATATGAAAATATATATAAAGAAAGGAATTTGCAAGAGAGAGAGAGAGAGAAATGTAATCAATAAACAGGAAATATTTAATTGAAAATTAACAATTTTCCGGAACTTAAATCAAATTTAACTTTGTTAAAAATAATTAAAATAATTGCTTAAGCTACTGCCAGACTTCATCAAAAGACTATTTAAGCTATTATTTCTGTAAAAAAAGAAACAATGGATAATATGATTTATTTTATAAATAAATACATATAAAAATAAAAAAAATTATATATATAAATTGCAAAATTATAAGCCATTTATAAATTAATTTAAATGATTTTCCAAACTTAGAAACTTAACTACTGCCACACTAAATCAAAGAATTAGTTAATGAAACGGGCACACTGGAGAGGAATCAAAATAGAACGCGATAAAACATGCTTAAATTTAATATAAAATAATATTTAATATTTAATATTTATTTATAAAACTTTGAAATGACTACTATTTTATTGCCGTGCACGAAAAGCAAGCCAGGAGAAGGCATAATGAACTCGCCACAGTCGGGGACATGGCCATCAAGCTGCCAGTGGGAAGTGCTGCTGGGGAAACCCTAAAACCAATATCCAATACCAAAATCGATTTAATAGCGAATAGATTACTTTTTTCTTTACGATCACTAATGACAAGGAAATAGATTAGTTTTTTTTCTTTAAAAGCTTAAGTTTTTTTTTTAGTTAAAAAAAAAGACTAAAATATTGAGTAAAAGTATATGAGTAGTATGTGAGTATTAACTCTCCAATAAAGTAAATATTATAAATTAATATATTGATTTACCTATGTATATTATTATCTAGCTGTATCTAGAACTTAAAAATCTTCCTTAATACTTCAAAATACGTGCTGTTAATTTGAAAAATATTTTTTATAATAAATAAACTATTATCTCATTTATGGGTATTTTGTGTTTCCAAAACAAAAACCATTTAAGCACTTTCCCATTTAGAATCCTTCATCGGAGCCTTGAAAGGCTATCCATCCATCCATCCATCCTTTGTTTGACATCTCTAAGATCATATTTTATGCTTATTTATGGCATTGCACTGGCCAGCTTTATGGTCTGACCATTGGATTTGCCATTCGATCTGCATATATCCACTGCAGCGGAGTCCTTGAACCTGCTGCCCGCCAACTGACCACCAACCATTCATCCATCATTGTTCCACGGAACAGTAACAGTAATTGTATCTGTATCTGTATCTGCATCTCTATCCTACACTTGTATCTGTATCTGTAGTGGCTGCCTGTATCTGGATGTGACCACCCTTAGGCCCCTGTCCGTTAGCTGTCGCGCTAAATGGAAAACAATTAATGGAAATGAAATTATACGTGGCCGGAAGCCATCATGAATTTTGAGTGCAAATGCCATTAGCATTTCAGCCAGGGGGAAGCGGAGCTAGGAGGGGGCTGGGATAGTGTACGTACGAGAAGCGTATGTTTCCCGGGGGCGGCATGTGCTTAGGGGGCTGTCAACACATTTTGAACCTATTAAATTTCCAACTGCACAGGACTCGCACAGGACACTGGCTGGCAATGTGTGGATTTACTAGGCGTTGGCACTGTGATTTCGTTTTAAGACCCAGATGGGGTTTCCATTTTCTTGATTTTTTTGTATATAAGAATTTCATTTCATTTATTTTGTTTTTATTCTAGTGCGACAAGTGATTAGCTTACAGTTATTGCACTAGTCAAGAATATATATATAAAATGTATATAAAATAGGTATATGTTTAAATATACAAAATACAGTTTCCAATGGGGACACTTTTATCCCTATTTAAAAGCTTTTAAAATATTTCAAATATTCCAAAAAAACCTTTATCCACAGATGGCTCCGACTTCAAGGAGCGGCTGATAGCCAGCGTTAAGAAGGAGGTGAAACAGCTAATGGAGGAGGCGGTGACCAAGAAGTATGTGCACGAGGAGAGCAGCTCGGTGACCTCGCTCTGCGGTGCAGTGGAGGCTTGCCTCAGCCAGGGCCTGAGGCGTCGTGCCTTGGGACTGTTCAAGACCTCATCTACGACGGCGCTGCTGCACAAGATTGCCAAGAGCTGTCCAGAGGCGGAGCACATTAGCAAGCTGGTGCAGGAGATCGAGGCCAGTGATCCCAGCAAGCGATCCTCTAGCAGCAGCGACAGCTTCCAGCGTCCACCGATGCTAAAGAAGAGCAGCAGCAACTCCATGTCCGCGGCCGCCTCGACATCATCGGCATCGGCTTCTATCAGTGTCAGTGCCAGCAACTCGAGCATGTCCTTGGCCGGAATGAAGTGAGTGTTGTCCTGGAAGGAGTTCAATCTATATGCTTATGCTCTTCCCCTAGATATTTGTGGATCCGCTTGGCCCTGTACGAGAAGCGACTCACCAAGATCATCGAGTATCTGGTGAGCAATGCCAGCAGCTTTTACGATCGCGACTCCCTGGTGGCCGATCCGGATTATGGCTCAATCCTTAGCTCCCTGCTGGTGGGTCCCTGCGCCCTGGAGTTCACCAGGGCCAAGACAGCCGATCATTATTGGACCGATCCGCATGCCGATGAGCTGGTAGGCCCTTTCCTTCCTCTCCCCCCTCTCGATTGTTAGTAAACTTATCTGCTCCCTCGATCAGGTGCAACGACATCGTATTAGCTCCTGTCGTCGCTCCTCCTCCACCTGCTCCCGGCCGGCCATCATTAACTTCAAGCGCAGCCTGAACACCAGCAGCGATGAGGCCAGCAGTGGCTCCTTCAAGTCAATTGCCTCGGCCAGCGTGGCCAAGGACTATGTGGAGTCGCTGCATCAGAATGCCAAGGCCACGCTGCTCTACGGCAAGAACAATGTACAGGTGCTGCCCAAGGATGTGCTAGAGCCAATGCCCGGCTACCTGAGCCTGCACCAACACATCCAGACGCTGACCATTAAGTGGACGCCCAACCAGCTGATGAACGGCTATGCCGAGGAGGAGGCGGAGGACATTGACAAGGATGCCTTCTGGGCCTATGCCCTCAACATCAATGTGGACGAGATTGTGTATGTCCACTGCCATCAGAGTCGCGGCGAGGACAGTGGCGGCACTGTGATCCTTGTCGGCCAGGATGGCGTCCAGCGTCCGCCAATTCACTTTCCCGAGGGCGGGCACATGCAGCAGTTCCTCAGCTGCCTGGAGACGGGCCTCCTGCCGCACGGCCAGCTGGATCCGCCGCTCTGGTCGCAGCGTGGCATAGGCAAGATGTTCCTCTGGCCCAGGAGCATGCGTCGCCGCATCCTGCCCTCGGTGATGGAGTCCGTGGATGAGACGCCCATCGATTATGTTTTCCGCATTGTCAGCAAGAGTCGGCACGAGGAGTTCGGTGAGTAACGGTTCAAATTGGAGTTTAGCGATGATCTCAAGTGGTTTTTGTGTCCCCCCCCCACAGCTGCCACCCACTCCATACTGGACTTTGTAAGGAGTACTCCGCGACGGGCGCAGCTGAGCAGCTGCTCCACCACCGGCAGCAGCGACTGCAGCAACAAGAGCCTATCCATTGACCAGTTCCCGCTGGAGTCGCCGTTGCTCCTGCAGCAGCAGACGCAGCACCAGCAGCAACAGGCGCTGCTCCAGGCTCAGAGTACCAGCATCGAGATGGTGTGCTCCACAATGCGCCGCCAGATCATCTCCAGAGCCTTCTATGGATGGCTGGCCTACTGCCGGCACCTCTCCACGGTGCGGACGCATCTCTCCGGCCTGGTGCACGGTCGGATTACGCCGGAAAGTGAGTTTTGGGGGAAGAATACTATCTGTGAAGTCCCCCCAGCTAACCCACTTTCTTTCCCAGTGAAAGCCGATGAAGAGGGCCTCACCAAGGAGCGCTGGCAGCTGCTGAATGTGAATGGGGTCCTGGAGAATGCCACCGAGTTCTACCGCCTTGTCTACTTTGGTGGCGTCCAGCCGGAGCTGCGGCAAGAGGTGTGGCCCTACCTCCTCGGCCACTATGCCTTTGGTTCCACGCGCGAGGAGCGCCAGAAGCAGGACGAGACCTGCAAGCACTACTATGAGACCACGATGAGCGAGTGGCTGGCCGTGGACGCCATAGTGCAGCAGCGGGAGAAGGAGAAGACGGCGCGGGCGGTGGCCAAGCTAAGCTCTGGCAGCAACAGCGGCAATGAGCGCACTGTCCGGGCGGCGGACCTTGATGCCGGCGGCGAGCTAGAGAACGAGGTGTTCGAGGACATCTCGGACATATCCGATCCTGGTGACCTCGAGTTTGACGAGCAGCAGCAGCAGCAGCAGCAGGAGGGTGTCAGTGTCAGTGGCATGCATCTAAGTGTGAAGCCCATTCCCAGGGCCATGAAGACCAGCACAGATTCGGGGCATGTGGATGAGGGTGAGAACTTCAACGAGCTGGACGAGGATGATTTGCAGGGGGAGGAGAAGGAGAAAGAGAAGCAGGCCCAGCCGAAGCCGGAGCCTGAGCAGGAGCAGGAACGGGATGAGACAGAGGAGGAGGAGGAACAAAAATTGGAGGATCAACTCAATCCAGAGCCCAGCTGCTCCACTTCCACAGCGTCCTCCTACGAGACAGTGGGTCCCAGTGCCGCCAACCAGACGCGCAGTGTCCTCAGTCCGGAGTACCTAAGTGCCGACGATCTGCAGCTGCCCGAGGATGAGGTGGCAGTGAAGCCGCAGCCTCCGCCTCAACCCCAGCCTCAGGCAGCTGCCGTGATCATCACCAAGGCCTCCGTGGACATCACCAACTGGGAGAGAAGTCCCAAGGCTGGCGGCCAGGGTCAGATGTCGCCCGTGGAGGAGCAGGCCATCAATCTGGACGCCCTGCAACAGCCCAAGTCGACCTGCGCCTCGCCAGCCAGCTCCAATGGCGGTGTCTACAGCGTGAGTGATCTCTAGGCCCTAATCTCTGGTGCAATTTGAATTTCCAGTACCAAATCTTTTGCAGAGCGAGCTTCTTGAGCAGTTTGGCCTAAATCTGCACAGGATTGAGAAGGATGTGCAGAGGTGTGACAGGAACTACTGGTACTTTGCCAACGAGAACCTGGACAAGCTGCGCAACGTGATCTCCACGTACGTGTGGGAGCACCTGGACGTGGGCTACATGCAGGGCATGTGCGACCTGGTGGCTCCGCTCCTGGTCATCTTCGACGACGAGTCGCTCAGCTACAGCTGCTTCTGCAAGCTCATGGAGCGGATGATCGAGAACTTCCCCAGCGGAGGAGCCATGGACATGCACTTTGCCAACATGAGGTTGGACTTTGTAAACTATTATTAAGCTCTGATAATTAATATGCATTATATAGATCCCTCATCCAAATCCTTGACTCGGAGATGTACGACCTGATGGACTCCAATGGGGACTACACGCACTTCTACTTTTGCTACCGCTGGTTCCTGCTGGACTTCAAGCGTGAGCTGGTCTACGACGACGTCTTCGCCACCTGGGAGGTGATCTGGGCGGCCAAGCACATAGCCTCCGGTCACTTTGTCCTCTTTCTGGCACTGGCCCTCCTGGAGACCTATCGCGACATCATACTCTCGAACAGCATGGACTTTACCGATGTCATCAAGTTCTTTAATGGTAAGAAATCAGGCAGTTGCCTTTGAATATAGTTTATAAGGATGTATCGGTTATGGATTATATATCTTTTTTTAATTTTTAAGGGGTTTAGACTGTTTTATCATAATAATTACTTGTTAAAATATTTTAAACATTTTTAAATACATTTTAAAAACTTTAAAATAGATTTAAATACAATTAAAAAACTTGTAAATTCATTTTAAAATATTTAAATACATTTATATATAATTTTGTCTATTGACAGAAATGGCTGAACGTCACAATGCCCAGGCAGTGCTCCAGTTGGCCCGAAGTCTGGTCCTCCAGCTGCAGATGATCATTGAGAACAAGTAATGGAAAGGATGCCAAAGTATTCCACAAGCAAAGGCAATATAAATGAATAAGATGCATAACGCCAGACAATTTTTGGCACTCTCTCAAAATGCTGCTTAAAAGAAGCAGGAGAGAGAGATCTTATTTATTTTACTTGCCTTTGCCACAACCAACCAACTATATAGAGAGTTATTCTAGAATCTAGATCGTAGTTCAGTCAAATTTCGTTTGCCAAAAAGAGGAAGAAAACAAGATTAACAAGCAAACAATAAATAATTGTAGGAATTGTTTGCCTTTTGTCGATCGATGTCTTCGTTATAAAATATTTACACGCAACTAGATGTACTTATATTTGATGGACCCTGAACCCTAACTCCAATTGTAACTGTAAACCTAATCCTAATTCTAATGGCAACTGTATTTGTATGTCTACGTAAGATCTTCCTGAACTCTTCACGCATATCCCCAAATGAGAAATGAAAAAATAATGTGTAAACGCAAAACAGGGGCTGAAAATGCAAAAGACTCTGAACCAAAGGAATGAAAACTTATACTAAATGGAAAGTAAACCCTTAACAAATGTATAGAAATATATATATATGTCTCTGTTATTCACACTTTTTGCACACTCAAATTGATTTATTTTTTTTTTTTTAGATGTAGTTTATCCCAGAAATATTAATTAACAAATACATATATTATATTATATAGAGAGAGACTCAGATAAGTGCAATGTAATTATCACGTTAAATCAAAGGCAAATCAAGTTATCAGCATACTGTAAATTGTAAGAAATATATACATATATCTATCTTGCGTTATCACATTATATATACATATATATATATATATTAACTAAGGAAACTAAGATTCCAATCTGAAACTAAAACTCTGTACCAGCGAAAGAAATTCAATTGTGTGTAACAATCAAGTCAACAATAAGTCGAGTCAAGTATCCCTGAATTGCCACCTATATACATATATAAATATATATACAAGCGATCTTGAGTGTCTATTATCCTCAGTCTCGGTTCCACTTTCATTTGATTGCATCTTATTTTTTATATGAATATATCCAAGTTTATATTTACAAAAGAGTACGTACATATGTATATTCCTCTATATCTCTCTCCCCCGTGTGATCTCTCTATCTCTACACCGAGTATAAATGTTGTGGACTATCTTTATACCTTAACTCTTTGTAAATGTACCTTTCGCGGACAAGCCCTATTCCGCCTTCACTCTATCTCAATTACAAGGTATATATCTACATATATATATATATATATATATACACCAGCATGAATACCAACCGAAATATATATGTATAGTATAAATGTATACAAGTACAAAGGCAGCGGTGGATTGTTAAAAAAAAATGGAATCAATAAATAACACATATACGATATATAAACAAAGCCCAGGAACTGAAGTTTTAATTATAATATTATTCAACGCACGATATATCCGGAGAACGGAACCATCAGCTGATCGCTTTGGAAGCGCCCGCTCTACAGGTAAACAATATAGCCTTATCTATGGATCGATACGATAAGGCGACCTTCCTCTAAGGTTCTATTCCCGGCCCACTTGTGGTTGCCAATGGCCCAAAAACAGATTGATAATACGCCATATGGATTGGCAAGGGGATACGCACGTATGAATGAAGCGTAGTTACACTCGGAAAATTTAGGAATTACTAAGAATTATATAAATATTTATAAATATTTATTTTTAAAAAAAAGTATGAACTTTATATATAAAGAGCTTAGGATTTGTTATACCCTTGTTATTATAATTTCAGTAAAAAGCTATATATTTTTGATCAGCTTTAACAGCCGAGTCGATCTAGCCATTTCTGGAAGAACCAAATTGTTTTAACCATTTTTCAAAATTTATTTAAGAAGGTATTCAGTATGCAGATTTATTTTATGTTATAAAACAAATATATTTTTGGCTTAATTATTATATTTTAAGCTTTAGTTTTACCAAAAATTATATTTCAGGTACTTTTATCTTAATTATTTATTAAACCCTTCATAAAATATATACTTTATATTTTTTAACCCCTCTGGACGTTCTAGTGTAATAAAATATTATTTTTAAACAATTCGCTTTAAGGAATAATTAAAGAATAGGCCTGGTTTCTCTTTGTGTACACCATAAAGAGGGAAACCCGCCTTATCTAAAGTGCCAATTTTACCTCGCAGTTTCTGTGTTTGTTTGCCTCAAAAATCCAGATCCGGAGAGCATCCACAATTGGGTCTTAGGGGGTATATAAGCTGCTGACCTGCAGCTGCACTCAACTCATTCTTTAGTTTGGTTGATTGGAGTAAGGATCGCGTTCATTAATGTCATCATCATCGTCGTCGTCGTCGTTTTTGGCCAGTTTGCTGGGTCTCAGTAATGGCGAGGATCAGCTGCAGAAAGCCTTCGATGAGGTTCAGGGTCAAAGGAGTGAGTAATTAAAATATAAAGAGGATAGTTTCTATTATTTTTAAAGTCGGTAAGCAGTAAAAAAATATTAAAAAATATAAAAATATATAACAATATATAAAAAAATATAAATATATATAAAACAAGAAAGAAAGTGAACTTTGGCCAGCCAAAGTTTGTATACCCTTGCAGGTAACAATTAAAATATATCATAACTAAGCCAAAAATGCATTAATTTCGATTTTTGCTAATTTTATCAAATTTCGCAAAATTGGCCAAAAAATCGATTTCTTCCGGACATGTCTAGAAAGATTCCCCTGTTGATGCTGATCAAGAATATATATGGTTTATAGGGTCGGAAACGTCTCCTTCACTGCGTTGCAAACTTCTGACTGAAATTATAATACCCTGCAAGGGTATAAAAATATATAAATATATATAAAAATATATTAAAAAAATAAAAAATATATATATACAAATATAAAAAAATATAAAACATATATATATATATAAATATAAATTAATAAAAAAAATATACAAATATAAAAAATATTTAAAAAATATAAAAAAAAATATAAAGAAATATAAAAATATATACAAAAATATAAAAATATATAACAAAATTTAAAAAAATATAAAAAAAAATATATACAAAAATATTTTTGTATATATAAAAGAATAAATAAATATACAAAAATCTTTTTGTATATAAAATAATTAAATAAATATTAAAAAATATAAAAAAAACATAAATAAGTGTAAAATCGAAGCTTGAAAAGTACTTTTCATACTTGATTCAATTATGATTACAAATCAAATAACTTGTCTAACATTTTTTATAAATTTTTTATAACATTTTTTTTTTAAATTATTTTAATAATAAATAAAAGCTTCTTGAACACGATCCCTAAGATAAAGTCCCCAAAAAATAGAAAACCTGAATATTAGTGTAAAAATGAGGCTAGGAAAAGTACTATCTTTTTATATAATTTAATTTAACTTAATTAAATTATGATTAGAAACATATTTTGTGCTTTTATAATATTTTATAATAATAACTTAAAGTTTCTTGAATACGATCCCTAAAAGAAAACCCCCAAATTCACATCTCTATCAAGCGTAAAGCTCCAAAAAGCTTTCTTCCTCTCTGTAAGCGTCCATCCCTGCAGCCCCAGCAGCTGTTTCCGATCCCAGTTCGAGCTTAGTCGCCCACCCACTGCCCACCGAGTTTGTGGTGAGTGTGCTCCAACTGGGCGCCGGCCTTCGTCTTCAATCTTTGGATGATCTTTGGACTGTGTGTGAAATTGTTTACTAACTTTGGAGAAACCTTTGCCTTACAGCTTCTCCCTTGAGACAGACAACGAACCTGAAGATGTCCGCGCCCATACGCTACTACTACGACAAGATGTCACAGCCCTCGCGGGCATTACTCATTATCTTTCGGCTGAGCAATATGCCCTTTGAAGACTGTGTGGTGGCTCTGAGGAATGGTAAGATTGCTATATTAACTCAAGAACAGTTATATCAATAAAACTATGTAAAAAGAAAGCTTTAAAGATCATCATGCTAGAAATACTATTGACTTTCCGCTGATAGTAATCCTAAAGCTATTTTTGATAGCAACTCTTTGCTGGTTTTAATAACCACAAATCGTAGTGGCAGCAATCTTATCTCAACCACGGTCTTTGCCCCCACCAGGTGAACACTTGACCGAGGACTTTAAGCGACAGGTGAATCGCTTCCAGCGTGTGCCCTGCATCCATGACAATGGCTACAAGCTGGCCGAGAGCGTGGCCATTCTGCGCTATCTCAGTGCCAAGGGTAAAATTCCAGAGCATCTGTATCCCAAGTATTTTGTGGACCAGAGTCGCGTGGACGAGTTCCTCGAGTGGCAGCACATGTCCCTCCGCCTGACCTGCGCCATGTACTTCCGGACTGTGTGGCTGGAGCCGCTGCTTACGGGACGCACACCCACAGAGTCCAAGATCGAGACAATGCGCATGCATATGGAGCGCAATCTGGATGTGGTGGAGGAGGTGTGGCTGGAGAGTAGCGATTTCCTTACAGGATCCACGCTCACCGTGGCGGACATTTTTGCAGCCTGTGAAATTGAACAGACGCGTGAGTAGAGAGTAACCCTCTCCCTCTTCTTAATTTAATTAATTAAATTATATTAATTTATTACTGGAAAACCCAGGCATGGCTGACTACGATGTGAGGATCAAGTACCCCAAGATCCGGGCCTGGCTGAAGCGCGTGCGCCAGAGCTGCAATCCGCACTATGATGTGGCCCACGAGTTTGTCTACAATATCTCGGGAACGGGGCCCCAGGCGAAGCTGTAAATTTTATGTTTTTTTATAGATTATAATATTATTTATGGGCAATTAGATTCTAAATTAAATATTAGAAAAATAAATCTAAATAAAAGACGGCTTGTTCTCATTCTGGTTTATCCTTGTACAATTTATTCTTAATATTGGTTGTTGTTTCATTTTTATTGTGTCGTCGTTTATAGCATTATATAGAAAATCCACATTTATTTTTGTTTGTTTGCAAAAAAAAAAATAATAATAATAATTAAAAAATCATAATACAAATTAGATTTTTAAATGTATATATATAAAATAGAAAATACAATTTTTTAAAAAATAACTACCTAAAGTCTAACAAAAAATTGTTTTTAGTTAATAATATAATATTTATATAGCAACGTTACGCGCTTGGGGCTCTTTCTATATACTTCTCTTCCTCCGTTTATTGTTTCCTTAATTCTCTCTTTTTTTTTGTAACAAAACAAAATGCATACAAAATATATATATATATATCTTTATATATGTATATCTCGTCTTGGGGGGGTTGGGTTTTCAGGATTCAAATCATAAATGTTGTGAATGAAATAAAAAAAAATAAATTTTATATACAGCAAAAACAAAAATAATAAAAAAAAAATGGGACAAAATACTAGTATAATACAACTACTAGCTAACTGCTTAACTTATATTAATATATATAGTTGCATGTATGTATCTTTTAATGCGCTCCTTTATCATCCAAAACTAAATCATATCAAAATCATATACAAACTACTCAAAAATATATATTTATATATATAATATAATATATATATGGTGTATATGTCGGCGAGTTGGTTGCTAAGTGCAAATTTGGAAAGCTTGTTGCTATGGCAACAGAACTATTCGGCATGCTCAGGTATTGGTAGCCTGTAGGTGTCGCTGGCGCGCAGGCGCAATGACAGTTGAGTCGGTAACAGGAGTGTTACTGAGTGAGGTCTGTTCGTCTGTCGCAACAATAGGAGAGAATGAGAGAGACAGCTTGAGATTGTCTAGGAATGACATCTGAGTGAAAAGTAAGAAAAGGTGAAAGGGCCACAGGAAAAGTGGCGTGATGACAGATTCGATTTGACTGCGCAGGCGAACAGAACTCGCTGGCTCGACTACGGTTAAATTAAATAACGGATATCTCCGACATCAGAAGTGGGATTCACCATAGCCTCGCGGGCATTCTGATAAAGTGATTTTCGGTCGATATTAAATTCAGTGGCGCATCGAAGGCTTGCGCAGCCGCGTGGTGCGAGACACCGGAGTCGTGATAGGCAGTCAAATGCACTGGTCGCGTGTTGAGCCGGACGGTTGCAAGTGTCATCAGTGTCGGCCAGAAAATTTGGGGAAGAATGGAAGACAACAACAACAGCACACTGGCGGAACTGCGGCTGAAGTGCGGAGAGCTGGAGTGACGCACTTCAGGCGTGATAACGGTGGTCACATTGCATCTGTGTGCACGAGATGGGTATCAGCGGCTGCGAGCGGCAGCATCAGCTGCATGTAGAAGCGAGTTGATTTGTGTGATTCAACAGTGACAGTATCGGGTGAGCCCTTTCCAATTATTCTTTGATTTGGGAGCTGAATTGGCTAAAAGATGGGAATAGAGATGTGTTTGATTGCAGTGTTGTTTGCACATCTGCCTTCCCATTGGCGAGCCCTGTGCTACGATAGGTTGTGCTTAGACTATCGGAAGCAATATTCGAAAATGGTTTCGGACAGTGGCCTTTGCCGCTTATGTCAGACCCTGTGAAGGAAAAATGTTTCTGTTGAAAAATAATTAATTTAAAAAAAATTACGAGTTGCCGTCTGTTTGGTCTGCCGTGCCGTTTGGTTTGAAGAGTGCATCTTCTACCTTCATCATGCAATTGTTAAGGCGTTTGGAATTTATCATGATTATTTGCGATAGTTTACATAGATGCATGTTAATCATGGCAAACTCGGAAGAAAAGGCTTTCCGAAGGCTGAAGGTTGTATTAAATGTGTTGACTGTACCAGAGTTGCCATTTAACGTTACCAAATGTGGGTTTCTTGAACCTACTACGCAGTATCTGAGCTATGAGGTGTGCGGTGGAGAAATCAGACCCAATTCCTAGAAAATCCTTACGTTAAAGGTCCGTCCTTTTAATCGGTGCAATTAAGAGACCGTCGTAAGACCATTTATTGAATTGGTGCCTTATTTTCAAAAACGTGTGCCTCGATTTTCTCAGATCATGAGACAGATTCTTCGGCTTCAAGTATCTTTAAGTGAAATGACGATATTCAGAAATTGGAACGAACGTTTTTAATATTATTACAAATGAGCCTGTAATCGTTATTTGTGGGTTCGAAACATCTGATCAAATTTGAAACAGATATAAGCTCTTGTGGATATGGTCCAATGCTAATACACCTAATTAATGGAGACCCTTATGTTGGTGGATATATTGGTAGAACTATGTGTCTTGTGGAGTCCAAGTAGCCTTTGTATGAATTGGAAATATTGGTTGGCGTGCAATTATTCTGACATTTTTGGCATTGTTTGCTCAGATGAGAGTTTGTAGTCTATACTTATTGCAGATGTAATCATTTCTAAACAAAAAAAAAAAAATTAACTGAAGTGCATCATAGAGAGAGGAGAAAGAAAGAGATAAAGAAATGAAGATGGAAATCGGTACATTTTAAAATCCTTAACAAGCAAAAGAACTTATAAGTATGCGCATGAGTTTTTGAGGGCATTGCCAAATAGACAAATAAGCAATCACGTTGATTGATAAAGATTTAGACGACTCAAGTGGAGATGCGTCTGATTCCCATGTGGGGAATGATGATATGGATGGCACGGTTGATGCCTTGGAATCCCAAGAGGGGATATAAAGACCGCACCATAACAGAAGGAATTGTTATGGCGGGGGTCAGTGGAGACCGCACCATAACAGAAGGAATTGTTATGGCGGGGGTCAGTGGAGACCGCACCATAACAGAAGGAATTGTTATGGCGGGGGTCAGTGGAGACCGCACCATAACAGAAGGAATTGTTATGGCGGGGGTCAGTATGTGGGTGTAAAAGGAAATACACCAGTTGATAAAGCTATGTAATTAGAGAAGTCTGAATTGTAAATTATGATTAAAATGAAGATGTAATTTGTTATGTTATCATGAAACCAAGATGCTTATTTTGTCTAAATGCCTCAATACTCATGTTTAGTAAATTAATGAAATGTTTGTTAACAATAAAATGTAACGAGTACTGAAATTTGAGAATACTGTGATATAAAGTTAACACACGAGGACGTGTGATTTGTCAGGAAGGCCGTGTCGGATCACATGAAACAAGGCCTACTTTATTCCTATGGTTAGAATATGTGAAGCAGGGCCTTTTGAAATATGGAGCAGGGCCTTTCTGAATTGGTAAGAATTGAATAAAACAGATAAAATGAAATGTTAAGTTGAGACCAAAGAGAGAAAAAAGAGAGAATGATAAATGAAAATGACAGTTATGTTTAGAGCTATTAGAAGACACGTCACGCGAGGACGCGTGAATTGTCAGGATGGCCGTGTCGGCGAGTTGGTTGCTAAGTGCAAATTTGGAAAGCTTGTTGCTATGGCAACAGAACTATTCGGCATGCTCAGGTATTGGTAGCCTGTAGGTGTCGCTGGCGCGCAGGCGCAATGACAGTTGAGTCGGTAACAGGAGTGTTACTGAGTGAGGTCTGTTCGTCTGTCGCAACAATAGGAGAGAATGAGAGAGACAGCTTGAGATTGTCTAGGAATGACATCTGAGTGAAAAGTAAGAAAAGGTGAAAGGGCCACAGGAAAAGTGGCGTGATGACAGATTCGATTTGACTGCGCAGGCGAACAGAACTCGCTGGCTCGACTACGGTTAAATTAAATAACGGATATCTCCGACATATATATAATTTTTTCATCAATATTAAACGTAATTTCGAACATTTCCCTTTGCAAAAAAATTGTTGTTTCTTGTTCTTGTCGCACCTGTCCGGTTGCCAGGTGTGTATAACTTTATATTATATAGTTGTAAACATTGTTGCACCGCCAATCGTTAAAGAAAGTAAACAATTTATGCTTAAATATGGTAAAAAAAAATGTTATAATATTTTTAAAAAAATGTAAAGCAAACAATTTAAGGCACCAAAAATGGGTTATACATACGTTTGTCCTTCTTTTTACACATTCGCACTAGGGGAAATATATATGTATATGTATACGGACATTTACACATCTAAAACTAAAACGCAGAACAAAGGACTTGGCTCAACTTGGTTGGCTTTCAAACCGGACAGGCGACACCTTCCTTCCTTTTTGTTTATGTTTATTTTTTTAACAATTTGTTGCGTTCGTTAATTGTTATATTAAATATGATTATTTTACAAATATATATGAGTCTGTGTGTGTGGGGTTATTTATGCGTTTTTCCTCTGTATTTAATGTGTTTCTTGTATACGTTTTACAAAATAGTTATCTCTTTCTTTGTCTATCCTCAATATAGATCTCTCTCTTTCGCTCTGTCTCTTCAACTCTGTTGCTTTCTCTCTCTCATTTGCGCGATTCTTAGCTTGGTTCCCATTTTAGTTTGTGTGTTTTTCTCTCAGTGTAAGTGTGCGAATAAATAAATTACTTGCCGCTTCTTATAGTTTCATCTTCGATTGTTTCATTTGCTGCGTTGCATTGTTTACAATATTTTTAAGAGGTTGTACCAACTTTTCTTATTATTCCAACTCAACAACAACAGTTGGTGTTCATTGTTATTTATGGGTTGGTCAAGCTTTCTTTTTAATTAAATAATTAGTTGTTGTTGAAAGCCACATCTAGGGGCGATTTACAATATTTTATAGGAAGATGTACCAACTTTTCTTATTATTCCAACTCAACAACAACCATTGGTGTTTTTTTTTTCATTGTTATTTGTTGGTTGGTCAAGCTTTCTTTTTAATTAAATAATTAGTTGTTGGGACACTTGTACATTTAGTATATATATAAAGTATATATCTTGATATTTTCAAGTGGATATTACCATTTTGCAATTGCTCTCTGCCTGATTACCTGATTTCTGGCTCAAAAAACTGTTGCTGGTTACAACATTTTTGCACACTCTTCGATATATAATAGATATATATTGTAATTATTATTATATATCTATTATATATTAATATATAGACTATGGTGACTGTGTTTCTATTGACATAAATCTTTTGGGTTATATATATATATGTATAAGCAAGTTCTTCTGAATGATTAAAAACATTCATGAAAACTTGCTTTTTGAACCCTTTGATTTTACAACACATTTTTGTTTAGTTTTCTTGCGTTTACCTAATTTTTTGTTTGTTTATATTTTTAGGTAACTTGTTTTCTTTTTTGTTTATTTCTTTAGTTAACTTGCCTTTTTTGTTTATATTTTTAGTTAAACTGATTTACTTGTTTATCATTGTTGTAAAATACTGCTTTCTTTGAACGAATTTCTTGTGGCTCTGCTGTTTCGTGCAAACTTTTCATTGTTTAAACGCTTTTTCCTTAATAAATGGATATATATTCAGGTTTATTCAGGTGTAATCCCGCCTTTCTTCCATTCAAACTCCTGTGTTTCTTGTTTTTTGAGGGTTTTTGAGCTCAAAAGCGTCCCCTATTGAGGTTCTTGATGCGTATGCCCACTTCCACTACCTGATCCCCCGCTCCCGCCGGTGTGGTGCTGTTGCTGCTGCTATTACTACCGCCGCCGGAGGTGCCAGGCGGTGGGGTTACTCCCCCAGTGGCTGCTGTTCCATTCCCATTGCTGCCATCGCTTTGCGGCGAGTTGTTGTTGTTGCTGCTGCTGCTGCTTGATCCCGTGCCAGGCTCAGACGCTTCCAGACGTCGCAGCACCATTGTGGTAGTGGTGGTCGTTGTGGTGGTGGTCTCTGCCGCCGCAGCAGCATTGGCACTGGAAACACCACCACCACCACCTGACGTGGTATTCAGCTTGAGAAGCTGCTGCTGATGATGGCGATTGTGATGATTGTAGTTGATGGCCGCCAGATCGTGTGCGTGATGCGAATGCGAGTGCAAGTGGGCGTGGGCATGGGCATGACTTGAGCAACTGCCATTGCTGGCGGAATAGTCATGAGGACCGCCGACCGTGTGCCGCCGTTTAATGGAACGATTCTGCTTGTTCTGGATTTGGCGCTTCTTGGTCAGATTCATGTCAGTCTTCTCGTCCTTGGTCAGGCCAGTGCCGGTGCTGGTGGTGGGATTCAGTGCCTGGCAACAGGTCATACCCACTGCTATCGCTGCCACGCCGCTGGAGGATCCTCCTCCTCCTCCACCCGGAGTGGTCGTCTGTGAGGTGGTCAGGTGTCGGGTGGAGTAGTTTCGGCAGTTGAAGCTGGCGCTGCGAAATAACCGATGGTCGCGTCTCTTTTTGTTGTAGCGCTCGAGAAAAAACGAGGGCGAGGGGCGTTCGCCCAGCATCAGCTTCTCCTTGGGATCGCTGGTTGTGGAGCCCTCCGAATCATCCTCGGAGGCAGCTGCTCCTGCTCCCACTCCCCCTGTGGCTTGGCTTCGCTCGTAGCTCAGATAGTTGCTGCCAAATCTGGTGGTATGCAGGCTCTTGGTCAGCGTGCTGACACTGCTTGAGGAGCTACGCGGCGGCGGTGGCGGCATAACTCCACCTCCACTGCCCGTTGGAGTGCTGCCAGTGGGCGTGGCTGCTCCGCTTGGAGGCGCCGTAGAACTGCCCTGATGTATGGGCACTGTGGCCGAATGCTGCAGCTTGTGGGCGGCGGCCTTAAGCAAGCTCGGGGGCAGCGGCTTGGACGAAGGCTTCGATAGCTTCTTCTCCTCCTCCTGCTCCTCGTCGTCGTCGTTGCCGGCGCCAATCGTATTCGTGGCCGTGCAGGAGCGACTCAGATGCAGGGACAAGGGAGCTGCATCCAAGGGATTGCAAAACTGATGAAACAGCCGTTCGGGCGACTCGTCCGCATACGGAATGTTCTCGGAGTGCATGTGCAGCGGCTGACCTAAAGTGTGGCGCCGATTCTTGGGAAAGTCACGACCGCCGCCGGCAACGTTCTCATCGTTCGACTCGGAGCCGCTGCGCAGGTTCCTCAGCTTGGTGTCCAGCGTGTCCGTGATGGTGGTTAGCGACATGGAACCTATGAAGAAGGGAAGGCTTTAGGCTTTACACTACTCCTCCTCCACCTAATCCTCCCACCATGCTTACCCGTATCGCTGAGCCGGCTACTGGTCTCATCATCCGTCAGCAATATCGACACATCCACACTGCTGCGCTGCTGCTCCTTGGCCAGATTTAAATTTAAAGCCAGACTGCCAGCGGAGTCCATGCTGCCCGAGTCCTTCTCATCCAGGCTGGCCTTGCGCGTCGTCTGCTGTGAGGAACGCGAGGAGGAGCCTAGGAAGCCGCCCGTGCTGCGCTTCTTCAGAGCCGCACTTTGCAACAGCTTCGATGAGGTGGCCGTTATGGAAGAGGATGAGCTTAGCTTGGTTGTGGAACTGGTGGACAACGAGGATGAGGCGGCGGACGCTTTGCCGCTGTGCAGCGTTGAGCTGCTCGATGTGCTGGCCGTGCTGCTGGCCGAGGCCGAGGCGGAGGCAGAGGACACCTTGGCGTAGTCCAGCGACTGAAAGGGCAGAGAGACGGAGGAAACGGGTGTGGGCAGGAGCAGGATTAGAGCCTGATCGCAAATGCTCTGCACAGCCTTGCGCTGTGCCCGTCGCCGCTGCTGGATGGTAGTGGTGGTGGTGGTGGTTGTGATGGTGCTACTACTACTACTGCTTGTGGTGGTGTTGTGGGTGGTGGTGTTTGTGGTGCATGTGGTGTTGCTGGCGGAGCAGCTACTACCGCTTACCAGAATACTCTCGCCGGAGTAAGTGTCCGAGTTGACCACACTCCGCTTGCCATGGGTCTTGCGTCTCAGCTGCGGCATAAAGCGCGACGTGCGCGTTGTGGTCTCCCGCTCGGTGATTCGCTCGATCTTGGACAGATTGTTTAGCAGCATGCTCGTCTGATCCTCCTGCGTCTGCTGCTGAGGCTGGGCAGCACTAACGGCGGCACAAGCGCCGCTGACCTCGGCCAAGTCCGGCAGACTGCCGCCCTCAAAGAAATAGTCGTACTAAAAGGAAGAAAACATACGAGGTTTTAGAAATTTATATTAAAAAATATTCCAATCAAAATATCCCCTTACCTGCGTCACCAGCAGCTCAACAATCCGACACTGGTGCTTCATATCCTTGACCGCCGTCTCCAGCGTGTCATTCGGTGTCCTGATGATCGAGGGACCAAAGATAATGGCCAGATTCTTGGGCTCCATTCGATTCACCTCACAGTTGTCGCTCACCCGGCACAGGTGCCGGATCAGATGCTTCATCGTCTCGTAAGGATGCCGCGGCAGAGACTCCACAATCTCGCGCAGCAGCACAATCCTCTCCAGGCCCACCTTCTTGTCCGCCTCGATGAAATTGATGTAATAGCTGGCCGGCATCAGGGCATCCGGCAGACTCCTAATGAACAGCTTCAGCAGGCTGCTCACCACATTCACGTCCTCCCAGCGCACATCCGTGGCACAGCTCTCGAACTGAAAGTCCTTGGTGTTGACCAGCTCGGAGAGTTCTGATATGGCCGCCTTGTTGCCGGGTATACGATAGATGCCAACCACACTCAAGCCCTTGGTCTCTACGATATTGGTGCACACCTCGACCAGGTGCGGCACACAGGGATTCAGCTTTGACATGGGACAGTTGCGCAGGGGAACGCCAATGGAACCGGTTTGCTTTGACGAGCAGCCAGAGGATGGCGATGCCAAGTCGTGCTGATGATGGGAGACACCGCCGCCGCCACTGCCACCGCCACGGCGGAAGAGTAAATCCTTCCAGTTCTTCGATTTCGGGGAACCCAAATCCTTATCGGGTATATGCTTGTGCGATGAGGACTTTCTGGCCTTCATCACCGGCGATATGGAGTCGCTGGTGGCGGCCACAATTGCTGCGGCGGCTGGCAAAGCCGAAACATGATGATGACCACCAGCCGCCGCCTCTGCTGAATGGGAGCTCAAAGGTGAGCTGTCTGCTGCCGCTGCTCCACCGGATGGGACATCGTCCAGGTAGCTGCTGCTGCTCGAGGTGGCGGCTGTTTTCTGGGGCTCTGCCATTTGCTTGCCGGGCAGCTGTTGGTGCTCCTGTGAGGGGAAGAATTTGAGTTTTAAAAGTTTTAACATGAAATTTATATAAATTAACAATTTTATTTTAGTTTTTTAGTTTATAAACTCACATTATCATCATAATTCAGGCTATCCTTCCACTGCAGCAGCCCAAACAGGCGCTTCATCTCGTTGCTGCTCTTGGTCTTGAACAGGATTTCGGTGTAGGGACCACTGCTGCAGGTTGACGATGAGGTGGATGTGGACAAAGCAGAGGCGGAGGCGACGGCGGAGGCTGTCGGCTCATTGGCACTGCTACTGCCCGAGGAGGTCAGCAGCTGCTTGTCGTGATTCTCGTCCAGGTTCAGCTCGTTGCCCAAGGTGGCCAAGTGGGCTCCACTGGGCGATGGCTTCGACTGCATGCGGATCAAGTACTTCTTCTTGTCCAGCGACTCGTCGAAGAACTTAAAGTTTCTAATATCAAGTTCTATCACCTGAAGGGCAGAGTTTGTTAAATTGGAAATGCTATTTTCATTTCAACTTTAATTATATTTACATTGTGCTCCGATTTGGCATGGCGGCCTGAGTAAATGCGCAGCAGATCGCCCTTGATTTCCAGCTTCACCTGACGCCACGATCGGTACTCGGACATGCGCTGAATCAAGGAATATATGCAAGAAAATATATATTAAAGACTTATTTTGGTTATCCTGGACATATTCACCTTTCCATTGATGCAGGAGGACTTGATCTCAATCTCCGTTTCGAAGGCCTCCAGCTCGTTGGGCACATACTTGCCATTTAGCTCGGCATCAATGTGAATGCTTTGAATAAAAAAAATATATAAATTTATTTAAATATAAAAAAAAAATAGATATATATATATATAAATTTATTTAAATATTAAAAAAATATATATATATAAATTTATTTAAATATTAAAAACAAAATATATATATACATATATTTAAATTAAAAAAAAAATAAAATAAATATACATTTATTTAAATATAAAAAAAAAGAAATATAAATTTATTTAAATATTAAAAAAAATATATAAATATAAATTTATTTAAATATTAAAAAAAAATATATATATATATAAACTTATTTAAATCTTAAAAAAATAAATATAAATATTACCATAAAAACCAAACTCTTAAAACTCACCTGCTTCGCATATCACTGCTCATGGAGGCCCGCCGACTGCCGTGGGCCGACAGACGCACATCCTCCAGGCCGTTGGGCGTCTCAATAAACTCATGGCCACCGCCAGTGCCTCCAATCACATCATAAGTGGGATCCGGATGCTCCTCAACCAGGGATTTCGTTTTATGCGGCTCCACAACGACGGCAGCCACCGGAATGGGTATGGAAATGGGCATTGGTGCCGCGGCAGCTGAAGCTGATGCGGGTGCTGACGCTTGCGCTGGTACAGATGCTAATTGATCCCCGCCAGCAGCTGCTGCCGCTGCTGCCTCTGCTGCATTAAAGTCGGCCTCGTTGTTGGTGGCCCGCAAATAGGAGATTCGACGCATCGGTTTGCCTTCATCAAAAGAGCTTGAGGCTAATGGCTTAAAGCGTCGCACAACCACGTTTCCACTGGAGCTACTGTCCACTATGGCGGCCGCTGCAAGAATGACGAGGAAAACGTATGTATAAGGATTTAGTGGCTTAGCCTTCGTTGGGGGTAATAATAAAATATTAAAAGAGTGCGCTAATCAAAAGTTTATTTATAACATCCTTTAAATTAAGAATGTGCGAAAAATATTTCACATTTGTGGCTGCCCTGTAGGACTTGGTACTTGCACGTGTAAGTCTGGTTATCCTTACCTAATCCTTATTTTATTTTTTTAATTTTAATTTTTTGTAATAAAAAATATAATTTTTGTAATAAGAAATATAATTTTTGTAATAAAAAATATAATTTTTTTAATATATATAATAATAATTATTTAAAAAAATATTATAATTATTAAGTATAATAATACAATTAAAATTGTTTTATTATTAGCAAGCTACACTGGAAAAAAACGAATAATTTCTTATTCTTTTTACACAAACAAAAATAATAATAATATATATCTATACACATATCCTCACTAAAAGTTAATCATTATTAATGGTTGATTTTTTCATTAAAAAAATGTTCCTAATAATCATCATTTACGATCCCTGATATTTTCAGTTGAAAACTTCTCCCTAAGCCTCTTCAATATTATATCATTTTGCTTGCTTTTATTTTTGTTTTGTGAGAAATAAATACAAATCTATAAACCAATCTAAACCTACCACTGCTCTCGGCAATATCCGCCAACGTGGCAACAGAAGCCACCTTCTTTTCCGGCAGCGCAACAAACTCTGCACCAAAGAGAAATACGGAATTTTAGAATTAACTAAATGTAAAATATCCGAGAGATTGAGATCCCCAGGCACAACTTACTACTACTGTTGGTTGGTGCTGGTGCTGGCGGCACCGGATCAATGGTGGCATTCGCCAGCGTCGCCTTGTGCAGCTCCATCCGACTGCTGCTGCTCTGTCCGTCCACCGTTGTCTGCTGGCCGCCTTGCTGATGGTACTTGGCCAGCGGATGCTGTTGCAGCGACTCGTACAGGATGGCACTCTGCTTTTTTACCGCCGTAGCGGTCGTGGAGGTGGAGGTGCTCGATGTGCTGGCGGAGGACTCCAAAGCGTTGGTGTTGATAGACAGCGGCTTAAAGGGATCAAATCCCTTGGACATGTGCGATACCAATTTCCGTTCGAATCTGTTTGGGTTTTTACAATTATTTTACTTTTTAGATTTCTCTGAAAAGTATATTATTTCACCAACTATACTTACACCTTGTTGGTAACTCCCGTTTCCTGTAGCGTCTCAAAATAATCGAGATCCTTGGCGTACTTGGCATTGTTATTGATCATAACCTGGCGGTGTTGCTGCTGCTGGATCTGCTGGTGTTGCTGATGCAAGTGTTGGTGATGATGCTGTTCCTGCTGCTGCTGCTGCTGCTGCTGCTGGTGGTGCATCTGCTGGTGATGTTGGCTCACAACACTACCCGGAGCCGTCGATGATCGCTGCACTAGCTTGCCACCGGCATAAAACATATCGTAGCCCAGGACAACCTGCTGATGCTGTTGCTGCTGCTGCTGCTGTTTAAGGAGCGCTTGGTGGCGACTGCGTGGCGGGGGAGCCACCACCTGTACACCACCGGGCGGCGTGTGTGAGGGAAAAAAGTGCTGCTGATGCTGCTGCAAATGCTGCTGTTGTGCCGGCGATGAGGACGACGACGACTGCGCCGCATTGCCATTGGCCGCTGAGGCGGAGGACAGGGAAGCCGGACCCGGCGACTTGAGGAACTCCTCCTTTTGCTTGATCGACTCCCGTAAGCGTATCATCAGGTCACTGTTCTCACTGCCCCCGGATACTGGTCCAGAGCCGGACATGGCTACGGAACCGGATCCCGCATATATCGCCTGACTAAGGGCCATCGATGACTTGGGTTGACGGGCGGTGGGAGTGGGCGTGGCCGATGCCGAGTTGGCCGATAATACTGTTAAATTTGGCGGCTGATTGGCACTGAAAAAAAAAACAAAACAAAAAAATGATATTAAATAAATTAGTAAAAAATAATAAATTATATATTTTAATAATTATAATTAAAATGTAACATTAAAATATACATATTTACATTTTAACTCAATATTTTGTATTTTATTATTTGTATATACAGTTTTATAATTTATTTCAAAATATTTTATTGATTATATCGAGCAGAAAGTTCAACATATCGACAAAAGTATCGAGTTCAATATCATATCTCAAACTCGATTAATCAACATTTACGATAATTCGATCTATCAAAACTTACGATAATTTTGATAAATCGATTTTTAAAATCTAAGAAAATATCACATTTAAAGTTACCGATATTATCGAAAACTATCCTATCCCCCATACTCCGATATATTATTTCGATTAATATATTCTTTTATTTTCTTGTATTTTCGTTATTATTGTTAAGTACATTTAATAAATATAGATATTTATAAATCAACTCTACGCATTTCTATTTGCTTTCTAATTGTTAAAAATAAAACTAAAAAAAAATTAAATATAAATAAAAAGGCTTATGCTTTGATTTCTTTTTTGCCTGTTAATTTTCTTTTTTGCAATACAAAAACATCTTTGTCACTTGAATCGCCCGAATATCCAAATTGGCAATCAACCAAATACAGTACGCCCAATGTCTGTAAGCTCCCCTGTGCCGATTTTTCGATGGCTACGGCGATGGCACGTGCCATCATCAGTCAGTCACTCACAGCTGCTGTCGTCATATGCGGCGCATGCGCAATATTTGCGATCGCGTACGCCGATCACGCTCCTCGCCGCCCGCCCTCACTTGGGCATTGCCAAATTCCTGATTCCGTTGCCATATAAAAATTATTATATATAAAATATAAACACATCATATCAAACACATTCCACAGCTTTATATTATTTTTACCCACTGAAAAGTGTAAAATATAATATATATAAACCAGGAAACCAGAAAGTTTGCAACAATTTTGCAGCAAGAAACCTAAACACACACACACACACACACAAACTCTCGAGTGGTCAGTCTGAATCCTGTGCACTTGCCCAAGCGACATCCCTAATTGACAGGGAATATGAAGTTGATAAGTTCATGGCTAAAAGCCTTTTGTGATATGTGCAAATGCCAAATTATTGAACCGAGTCTTGTGAAATTTTTCCACCTGCTGTGTAACGGTATCCGGAACCAGGACACGATGACACACACATTGTCTGGGCACTCGGTAAAACTGAGCAGAAGGCCAATACAAATTAGATTTGGGCCGTAGTTTAAGTGGCTGAGAGCAGTCCAAATAATTGAATTCCGTGTGGCACAAAGGCAACAGAGTGAGAGAGAGAGATGCGAGGCATTTGCCTATCCGGTGGCTGCGGTGCCACTAGAAATGGCAAATTAGTTTAACTATGCCTTCGTTTCCGGCTGCGTCCCGAGATCCCTTTATCCAGAGATGCCCTGCTGCCCCCCGGTGTTAAATGAAAGTTCAAAGCTAAAAATAGTCCAGAGATAGTGGTTGTCTGTGTGTGTGTGTGCCAGGATATTTAATTCAATTCGCTTTTAAAAGCCTTTCCCACACTCACGAGGCTCTCAAAAACCCCGGCAGACTGTCTGTCAAGGTCAAAAGGTAATGAATAGATGGCCCCACAACAGCCCCGTGACCCTTTCCCCTTGCCTCTCATATATCACTCGCTCCCTTCCTGCCACAGGATCATATTTCACAAGTCGCAGGAATAAAGAATATCGCTCGTTCCCTGTCCTCCGCCTCCGTATACACACACACACTCACTCGTATCAGTGGCGCATTTCCATTGCCTAGCTTTCAGCGAACAGTGGGCCAGGTTCATGAATTTCGAAATTAATTTAAATTTAATAAAATATTTGTTTAATTTTGTAATTTAACAATAATGATCCTTTACTTATTATTTATATACGATAAATATATAATATATATCAATTATAATTCAAAAAAAAAAATATATATTTTTTTACATATAATAGTTTATAATATATATTATATATTTGCTGTATTTTAATGCCTTTGGAAACCCGTTTCGTTAGTGATTTTTTCAAAATTGTTAGATAACATTTTTATTAATTAAAAAAAATTAAATGTGATATATGTATATAAAATTGTGTTGCAAAAAACTAGACTTGAAACCACTGTGCAGCAGCAAAGAGCAGGTACCAACGGTAAAGTTCCCTGCATCAGAATCGCGTTTCCATCACCCGCACACCTCACTCCCGCAAATAAATGTGTGATTGTTGGTGTGCAAAGTGCGAGAGCTCGATGGCATTATTATCTATGCATAAGCATTGAATTTAATATTCGATATATGCACATATATGTATAGTAGATATATATATATGTAAAGTATGTGATTTACTGAACGAAATTAGGTAAATATAAAATATATATTTTTACATTTCCAAATTTTAAATATAGAATTGAAAATAATATGGATTTATCAAGCAGAATATCGATTTATCATACTGAAAAATATAGGAAAGTACTTTATCGATATATAAATGTATATATTTCTTTATGAAATAGCGAAACATACCGAAAAATTATATATTTTTAATAATATTTATATAAATACCACTTTTGGGTAATTTCTATAAATTTCTTTCGGTGCATGCAGTGCGTATGATCTGCACAAGTGACTCGCATACAATTCAATTCGAATTGATTCACCGCAGCCACTGGGCACATCCAACACCCTCAGCCAAATCCCAAAAACCACCGCAGTACATAGAAGTATCCTATAAATACATATGTACATATATGTATGTATAGTTGGTGCATATCGATAAAAAGGGGCTAGCGAATTAGCCATATCTATAATGAGTGCAAATATCGCTTCACATATAGATTTTTTTTTCAGAGAACACAGGTTTTTAGGAGTTTTGGTAATTTTTGATTAAGAAGATTATTGAGTAATTTTATCCTGCATTATAAAGAAAACGCTTTGACTTCTGTATCCTAACTACTATAAGCTTTTTCTCACTGGAGAACCCTGAAGCCTCCCTTTCTCTGTGTGGAATTTCGCGCTTTTATTGTCTGCTCGTTGTGAGCTATCCATTGTGGCATTATTTTTTATTTATTTATCTCTTTTTTGTTGTTGTCTGATTTGCGTTTTGCCAACTCTTGCGACTCTTTGCAATTAACAAGTCATAAATAAAAAATTGTTGACACATTTGATAAGCGACAAAAGCCACAGGGGGAGTGGCGCGAGATAAAAAAAAAAAGAGAGAACCTGTCAACACACACGCACACAACTATTCACTTCCCTTTTCTCCCGGTGTGCGATTTCTCATTTTGTTGTCGAAATAGCGAACGCCGTCGCAAATTCCTCAATTTCTTTGTCCCACTAAAGAAAAAAAGCGGGTCGGAAATAGGTTCTTGGAAATACTTTGTATTTATATTTCTAAGCCAAAGACTCTATGTACAAGATGCGTAACGACACTCGCCGTTCGATTGTTTCTATAAATCGGAAATTCATTTGAGATCATTACATTTAAATTCTTCCTACATAACTTTCTCTTTCCTATTTAATGAAATTAAATTTAAAAACATTATTTCATTTCCTTTCCCTACAGACAGAAAGAACACTCAATCTACTCCCACTCTATGCTGATTGGAATAGGGTTTCCTCTGTTTCTTTCTGAACTGATGGAGCCCATTGATTCAAACCTTTTTCAAGGCCAAAGCGAAACCTTTGCACAAGTCACGTTCGTTGTTGTCTTGCTGTTTTGCTTTTAATTGTGGTCAGAGTCGCTTTCATTGCTTTGATCTCGGTCTTCATTGAAAAAGCACTTGAACTTTTGATCTAATGTTTTCTATGTAAGTATTGTTAATTTTTTTTTTTTTTTTTGACAAGGTTTCTTGCAAATTGTAGTTTCTTGTTTTACTCATCATCATCGTCACATTAACACAGCAGCACTGAAACAAAAAACTAAATGAACTATATACAAACTCAATTTCTTTGAGGACAAAACAACTTGAAATTAGAAATAAAGAATTGCAAAATTAACCTGCTTTCAATATTTGTATCAATCTCGAAACGTATCATTTTCATGTGAACACGGATCGGCTTTTTGTCGCCGCCATTGAATGGTGGTAGGGCATACATTTTTCTGGCAGTGCACGCCCACAAAATGTTGTCAAAACAAGGAGAATTCCATTATGCGCACCAGAAAACATTAATACAAAAAATAATGCTTATAAATATATTAAAATTACAAGCAATTTCGTTTTCCGCGTATCACAAAATCTGAAATCTGCACGAACCGCTCGCCATCGTCAACTAAACTAAAGTACAAACGCAAGTCCATGCGACTAAACTAAAAAAAAAAAATACAAAAATTACAAAAAAGAAGGCGCAACAAAACACAGCAACAACAACAAAGAAGAAAAACAAAATTGGCTTTGTGTGTGCATGTATGAAATTTGTATTAAAAGAGAGCTCAGCAATTGAAAGAGACCCATTGAGTGGGCAGTGAACGAGTGGCGAACGACCCACCGACCGATGATCCCCGCCATTCCATATAGATTCCCTTTCTTCATTATACTAATACAGTGATTTTTGTTTAGAAATAAACATATTTTCAGGCTAGCATTTGTTAAAAAATGCTTAGGGAAAGCTTACAACTATCATTATTCAAAATAAAAAGTTTTAAAACAATAAAATTACAATGAAATATTATTTATAGAACAAAAAGTATATATCTAAAAGGTAGTTTCTACAAAACTACATTTCATATTAAATATTTTTATATTTAAATAAATAAAAATGCTAATTATTATTAATTATAACAAAAATTTTATTATATTTAGAGTTTTCAATGATTTGTAGTCCTCATTATAGATTTGTCACTGTACTTTATAACCAATAAATAGATAAATAAAGAAAAGAAGAAGTGTGGCCAAGTGGGAAGGGTAACTGCCCACGGCGTGGTGGGTACAGGATGGTTGACAGAGAAGCAGCGAGAGTGAAAGAGAGAGAGAGTGTGTGTGTGAGAAGTGAGAGTGGGAGAATGGGAGAGGGACAAAGAGGGACTCCAACTCGCAATCAGTATATCACTATCAGTCACCGACTGACCAAATATAAGCCCCCACTTCACCCTCCCTGCGCGCCAGCACCCTTCGGCGACTAACCTTGCCTTGTTTACTTATTTACCGAGTGGGTGGCAGGCAGAAGCGGGCTGGCTGGCGGGGTGGCAAAAGGGGAGGGGGTTCGACCAGTCCACCCAACCACAAACTAACCACAGGGCGCATACGTAATTGTCGAGTAGTTAAATTTTATACCAGGCACAGTGGATCGAAATAACACCACTTGGTGAGTAGTATTAAATATCAAAATATCGATATCTAAAATTTAAAATCGATATTTTTTATGGTTAAACCTTATGGATTTATAGATATTTAATGTGAATTTATAGCGACTCTTTTTTTAAATAATAATAAAAGTTAAATAATATAATATATTATTATTATTTTTATGATTTCAAATTTATCTATTTATAAATAGTTAAAAAGGTTTTATAGAGAAACCTTTTAATTAATAAATTATAAATAAATTAACAATATAATTATGTTGCCAATTTAAGCGGAAAAAAATTTTAAATTATTCGATACGTTCGAAATTTTTGATATAATTGCAACATTTTATTGATTTTATTATTATATTTATTATAAATATTTTTAAACCTTTCTTAATAATTTCTTATTATATTTATTATAAATATTTTTTAACCCTCCTTAATAATTTTATTCTTATATTTATTTGTAATATTTTTTTAACCTTTCCTAATAAAAGTTCAACTTTATCCACCGTGCACTCAATGCCACGCATCGAAAAATTGAGTTTTGCATTTCCGATGACATATTTTTGGCAACCATCAATCAATCAATGAGTCAGTCGATCAATCAATCAAACAATTTAGTGTATAAAATGCGTATGCAAACAAATAAAAGAAAGGATAATGCGAAATGTATACTGTTTAAGGGCAATTGCCAACGATAAAAGTTTTTAAAGAAAAATTGATTTAATATATTTCTTTCAAAATCAAGTAAAAGTTTTAAGCGTTGTATTAATTTTAGTAAAATTTAAAGTTAATATCCCAACTGATTTCTTAGTATGGATTTTTTTTCTGAATTCCTTTAGCGATTTCTGCAGTGGAAACAAGTTAAGTGGCATGATTGGAATGCCTGAAGTAGTCAATAATTTACATAAAACGCTGCGATCCGCGAGATCAGCTCAATCTCAATCTGAGCCGTCTCAATTTCAATCTCAAAAAGTTCGCGGAAAATATACATACATCTCTCGTTCGTTATATATGTAGCCCTTTGCCCTCTCTCTCTCTTTCTCTCGACTCTTGGCTCTTGACGACTTGATGTCTGCGAGAATTGAAGGCATTATTTCTTTCCCATTCTTTTTTTTTTTCTGAATTCTTTGATGGCACCCCGTCCCGTTCCGTTCACTGCTATACAAAATTCAATTAAATTTATCGTAATCATTTAACAATGGAGAAGTTTGCAGTTCAACAAATTCATTGTTATTGTTGTTGCTGCGACGAGGTGGTGGTGGTGTCCATTTACACCACTCGCGTTTTGTGTGCATAAGGTTATGCGGTTATATGAGTATTTCATTTCATTTTTTATTTATTTATTTTCGCATTTTTCTCTCATTTTTATTTTGTCGATTAGTCAATGGCTTTTTGTTACTGTATAATAATTGATTTATTTATTCATATTCATGTGCAACCACACTGCGTATACGCAATGCCGCAGACGGGCGAGGGCGAGTCGGTGAGTGATGGTGTTGAAAAATGTTCGATATTGCGCTTTGAATATTAAAATAATTCTCTATCATTTTGTATGGACGCAGACTGAAAGTTTTCTTATATAGTTTAGTAATGGAAGCCCTAATATTTATCACTACAAGAGCATTGCCAGTCGGTCTTCACAAAAGCTAACTAACCACTTTCTTCTAGATTTTCACCAAAAACTTCTCTCAATCAAACTCACGTAATTTGAAAATTGCACATGCAATTCAACTGAAAACGTGACAAACTTTCCAACAAAAGTAAAAAACAAATGGCAAACAAAGAAAGATAATAGTAGAGTGAGAGTTTTAGAGGGCAGCAAATGCAAAAATAAATGTTAAAAAATACAAGAAACCAAGCCAAGAACTCTTTGGATATGGGTTCTAATAAATATATATAATTTGGGATATATTTCTTATGGGAAAACCCTAGAAAAAGCTTGAATTGAAGGTTCTCAAATCACATTTTGTTCCAAAAAGTTTTCTTAAACTGGAACAAGTGGTTTAAACTTTTATATTTATAATACTTTCATTACTGCTGACGTCACAGGAATACTAAAATAATAAATCATTTTTGCACATCTACACAGGCGTCTTTGGGAAATGTGGAAGTACATATATATGTATATATGAATAGGGAATAAAATGTTCATTCAGAACAGACAGAGACACAAAACAATGACAAATATGCATGGAAAATATACACGAGAGACGAGAGATGAATGAAATCAAATGAGACAAGGAATGGGCATGGGGAATTTGTGAAATGAGAACGAAAAAAAAAAGAGAGAGAGTGGGAATGGAGGGGGAGTATATGAAATCACCAAAAAGGCCGCACCGCAGCCACAATGGCGACCAATATTTGTCTGCTGATTCTGTTCTATATTTTATACTGCTATAATGGCATTCGCTCATCATTATCACCATCACCATCATCATCATCATTATCTTTATCATCATTATCTTTATCATCATTAACTTTTCCATATAAATTAATGACAGCGACAAGTGAAAAAAGAAAAATCAGCCAAGTGAAAAAACTGGACTCTTGAATTTAGCTTAAAAACTAAATGAAAACTAAACATATGCAATGACTTTGGCTTACAAATAAATGTTAGGTAATTTTTGTAAATTAAATAAATTAAATAAAAAATAAATCTAAGAATAGCTGTTGTTTTTAACTTTCAGTTCTTTATTAAAGGGACACAAAAGTTCATTACAATTGCTTTTAATTTTTCACATTGTTGTCTATTATGCGGTCAGTTAATGTCATTTAGTGTTCGTTCATCAGCTTAATTTCCATCTCTGACGTTTTTTATTTGCAGTTTTTCTCAATTTGTTTCGCTTTTCCCCCCTCGAAAAGCATTGGCTGACTGGCAGGTAAAACCCTCCCCTTGTGGCTCACTGTTTACTGCATTTCTCGTTTCCAATTTCGATTATTGAGGTTTTCACTTATTTTTTCGAGTTTTTTTTTTTCAGCTGGCAATGAAAGTGAAATAATATGTGCAATATGCATATACACACTCACACTTGGCGGCGGTGGAAGGGGGATAAAGACGAGGTGGCCGCCTCTCAACTTTTGCCATCATAAATCACAACAGACGGCAACAGTGGGGCGCGTATAATAATTAAAAATTCATATATTTATACTCAAACGAACTATGAACAGAATTTTAATAATTTTAATGAATGAATGAAAATAATAAAAAAAAACTACCTCAGATAGGGTTATTCACAAAATTAATATGAATATTTTAAAAGTGTCCTTATTTTTCAAGATGATTGTAATCCTTATATATCGTATGTATATCGAAATGAATAGTTCGATATAATATAATTAATCGACAAAAACAAAGCGATCAATATCATATACAAGCTATCGTAATTATATCGAAAAGCGTAAAATTTAAATAAAAAAGTTTATAAAATTATTCGTTTCTTTTTTCGATGACATGGTTTCGATAATCAAACAGAATATCGATTTATTGCAATGCTAATTTTCATATATCAATGTTGACATTAAAAATTAATACAGTTCGACATTTTAACGACATTTTCTGCCATCTGAAATCAGAAATATATGAAATACTAGTAGTCCTGGTGAAAAGATATTTACGTGATGGTCACGAAATAATGCCTGCCATCGGCGCCTAGCTTGGATCTGGCTTTCACTGTTCCCTTAGAAATTGAAATCGAAATCAAATTGTTTGATAATGCAAATAAGTTTTGGATAAAAGTCACTATATACCTAGGTATAATATCAAATTTATAGAACCTTAATAAATGCTATTTTGTTCTTGGATTTGTGCATTATTTTCACTTGCATAAGTTCTAAGTTCAAGTTGCCAACAATTTAAATAATTTATAAAAGTTATATAGACTAGTTTTATCATGGGCAACTTCTTACGCATCTTTGTATTTCTTTTTTTTTTTAGCACTCGCTTTTCTTAATTATATAAATAAAACGTAAAATTGTCTGCCATTTTCCGTTTCGCTTTATAAACAGCTCTTGTCTCAGTGAAAATCTGTTGTAATTGCCGTCGTGTGACGTCAATTGCTTTCGGCCAAGGTGAGTAAATTTAGTTTGTTGACTTACCGCATGAAGCCGCCGCTGCCGGTGGCGATCATCTGGTGATGATGATGATGTTGCTGTTGCTGCTGGTAGAGATGTTGCTGTTGCTGTTGCTGATGCTGCCGCAGACCGTGGGCCATGTCCCCAAAATCGATGCTGCTACTGCCGCCACTCATAGCCGGATGACGGTGTTGTTGCTGCTGTTGTTGTTGCTGCTGCTGCTGCAGAGGAAGTGGGTAGAACTGCTTACTCAGGATAGTGATTCCTCCGCCGCTAGCAGTGCTGGTTATGCTACCCGATCGACTGCCTCCGTGCAAGGATGCAGCATGATGGGTCTGGATATTGGGATTGGAATGCGGCGATCCTGCCGGCGATGATGTAGCAACGGCTGCAACAGCGGGATATGAGATCAACTGTTGCTGCTGCTGCTGCTGCTGCTGCGGAGTAGGAGGAGGAGGAGCAACTGCTGCTGCTGCTGCCACCGATGTTGCCGATGGAAATGTGGTTTTGTGGGAGCCATTGGCCAGCAGCGAGGGCGAGGGCGAGTGCGTCGACATGGTCAGGCGGTTCGACTCCGGCGTGTGGGCAATGCTCGTGTAGTGCTGAGGAAACAGAAACCGAAAAACAAAAGTAAGCGAGGGAAAACAAGCCAGTTAGAGGTGAGCAGACACGGTGAGAAATGCACAGGTTAATCATCAGCCCAATGATGACGTAATCAGTTCACATTTTACTAGATTTGAAGGGTTCGTTCTTTTTAAATAGATTATGAAATTTTATATTTTTTAGATGTTACACTTCACTAGTTCACAAATTTCAATTTATACATTTTTGATAAACCATTTTATTGGCAGATTTTTCTTCCTGTGCACTGGCTGACTTTTTCAAGTGGGCTGTCTATGGGGTCTGAGCTGCTGGGCTGGGCTGGATCGGGCTAAGCATTATACGTACCATCTGCAGGACATCGCACTCCTTAGGCACCACGTGCAGCGTGAGGACCGCCGGCGTCTGCTTGATCATCGAGACGATGGTGCTGTAGGCGATGCCAGCGATGGGCTGGTTGTTAACCATCAGCACGCGGTCGCCCGTCTGCAGGTTGGCGAGGTGGGCCGGTCCGTTCGCCTGCACCTCTTTGATGAAAATGGTCTCCATCGCTTTCACTTGGTACGGCGGCAGCGACGTCAACGACGTCGGAGACATTGGCTCCAAACCGGTGATTCCGCCGCCGCCGCCACCGCTGCTGCTGCTGCTGCTGCCGGCCAAACTGGAGGCTTCCTACACAGCCAAGCCAAGCCAATCCAGCCAAACGAGAGAAGAGAGAGAAGAAATTTGTTGAGTTTCAGTTGGATGCACAGTCAGGGTTGTGTAAATAGACACTAAATTTAAATAGTAATCCACGTACAGTAATATCCAGATTTTTATCTAGATAATATAATAAATAAATAAATATGGTATCAAATATAATTTCCCGAACATTTTCCACATAGACAAAATTAATTAAAAAAGGGGGAAATTTATATCTTTGATTTACAAGAAAACTTTTTCAAATAATTACTATGAATTCAATTTAAAATATTTGTTTTATTAGTTTTTTTAAATATAAGTAAACAATTTAATTAATTAATATTTAAAATAATTGTTTTATTAGTTATTTCAATATTTGTAAAGTATTTCTGATGTTTTTTAAGTTTTATTTTGAATTAATGTTGCCAGTCAGTCCTATTATTATGAACACAGGCGTCGTGGCAAGTCGTGAAGCAACAACGTTTTTAAAGGAGACTGTGGAATAGATTAGGCTTCGGGAGGGAAAGAGAAAGAGCGCGAGCTTGAAAAGAGAGTGGTGAGAGCGAAGTTTGTAATATCAACAAAAATGAAAACCGACACAAAAAAGTGAAGTGAGCAAAACAGAAATTAGTGCAAAAATAAAAACACAAAATATATATATATATACCTATATAAATCGGAAATAAAAGAGAAAGGTAGGCCTAAAGACATTCAAATACCCTAACCGTTGCATTCGTAAAAAAAAATGTATGTATAAAATTAAAGGTAGGCAGTAAGTATTCTTAATATTTCCTTTTCATTATCTTAAATCCAACAACGTGTTACGTTGAAGAGCATGAATCCAACAACATGTAATGTTGAAGAGCATAACTCCAAAGCTAATCAAAACACCAAGAAAATCATCGCGCTGGTGTCGAAGGAAGGCGATTTATTCTATGTGCCACTCAAAGACTTTGAGTGTGCTACCAATGTTATGCGGGTAATGCAGATTTATGAAACCGATGATTCGTTCCCATTGCCACGGGTTTCAACATTTATTTTGGGTACGATTATAATTTGGGCGCTATTCTACAAGGACGATAAAATACGAGATCGACTTTTGGAATGTAAACTTGGACAACCTTCCTGAACTTATAGAGGCTGCCGAATACATGGGTATTAAGGCCCTATACGACGGCTGTGTCGTTATGGCCAAAAGGATGAAGGCGAGGAAGACCTCAAACTAAGACCTGCGGAAAGTAGATTCCAACCGAAAACGCTATATTAGCATATTATTTATGCTGTTTAATTAAAATATAAATTATAAAAAATATTATAACAATAACTCAATTTTTGTAGGGTATGTCAGACGTCGCATTAATAAAAGACAAAAATCAAAAAGAAAGCAGAAAAAGCAAAAGCGCCAATTTGAATAAGTCGCGCGTGCGCTGCGCTCACGTAACAGCGACGCTGACTTCGGCAGCGACCAAGCAGAGCGCACAAGAGATGGAGAGAGCAAAGAGAGAGCGTACGATGACTAATTTTGCTTGACCGGCGCTCATGCGCATGCGCAGCAGCTCTTTTCTGTTGCTCTCACGCCCCTGCCTCTCACTTCCTTTGCATCTAATTGCGAGGCAGCAAAGGAGTATATCCAAGGATATCTAGTGAGGGCTGTCCGTTTTTTAATTTCAATATTTGCTGTATTTTTTGTTTTATTAAGTCCCCAGAATCCCATGAGCTTAAAGTATAGTACATTGGGGGTGGAGGGGGAGTGGTTTATTAAAGTCCTATTTTCTTTCTCTTCTTACTCACCTGTGGCCAGCTGGACGTGGCCGTTGAGGAGGCAGTTGCCGTCGCCGCGGCATCATCTTCCGGCGGATAGGCAATAAAGTGGCGCAGCGTGAATCCAAATCCCTGATTTGGTCGCCGGCAGATGACGATGAGCTTCGGCTGGATGGAGGAAGCGGCCAGAGCGGCATTGTTGGCTGCGGCTGCTGCTGCCGCCGCCGCTGCCGCTGCCACCGCTGCTGCCGGTGTGGCCACCGCTGAGGCTGCCTGTGCTGCTGACTGCGCTGCGGCAGCGGCGTTTGAGTTTTGTAACATTTTGTTGCTAGTTTATATTGTATTTATTTTTCTGTTTTTTTTTTTTTTTGTTGTTTATTGTTTGTTGTGTACTCCTCTCTCTTTGTTTTAGCACTCTTTCTCTTTCGGTGGCTGCTGTTGTGGTTTTGGTGGTTTCAGTTGTTTTTGTTTTTCCAATTTGTCGTGCGGTTAAGATAAGTTTTGTATTTATTTTTTAAAATATTTTATTTAGGCGGTCAACCTTTTGGTGGCATCCTCATTTGTGCGGCGGTGGGTGTGGGTGCTCCTCCTTCTTCATCCACCTCTGGGTCTTCCCCTTTCCTTATCCACCGATATATATACTTAATATATTTACTGTTTATATTATATATTTACTTCATATATAATATTCTTGGGGATTTTTCATCTACTCCTTGGTATGATGCATTGCAAATTTTCGATGTGGTTGCGGCGGCACGAGGCCCATCGTACCGATTGTTATTACCATAGTACTGAGAATACTGTTTATTCTGTGTGATCAATGATCAAGCGATCGATCAATTGTGGTAACGGAGGGGTAAGCATCTAAAATAAGAAACAGGGAAAATATTTAAATTAATTTGTATAGTTTATAACATTTTAAATATAGGATGATATAACCTAAGAGTAGCGTGTATACAAAACTTACACATTTATGAGAATAGAATTTACTATTTTTCTGTGAAAAACCGCCACTTTAACTTCTACTAAAAAAGCTGGCTTAAATGTTCTTGGCATCAGCACACTCTTAACCCCCTAAAAATTATAACAATTTGGGGGGGTTCACATATGGAAATGGTAAGTTGGTAGAGGTTGGCGGTCAACCAAAAAATGCGACGAGGCGTGTTACACTTTTTAGACCCCCGCCCCCCTCAGCTGCGATTTGACGGTCAATGTCCAACATTTGAATCTGTTTTCGGCTTTTTTTTACTGTATTTTTTATGCTTCGTAATTAAAGCTGGAAAAGGTTTGCTTTGTTTCGGTTCGCTTTTTGTCTTTTGGGCCTTTGGTTTATTCAGTTGGGTTGTTTTTCTTTTTTTTTTTCAGTTAGCTGGTAGTAAAAAGCACTTAACTAACTGTACATGGACGGACATATGGACCGATCGTAATATTCGGCTCTATGGCACTATGATGATATAATGCCGTTTATTACCACAGAAAAAAACAAGAAAACAAATAAAATATTTAAGTCAGCTGAAGACTAAACAAAACCCCTGGTTCAAAAAGAAGTCTTGCTTTTATTTTACTTAATTTTTATAAATACGAAAAATTGATATACATATATATGATCTGTGGTTCAATAAAAAACTCAAAGACTTGATATTAAATCTTTAAAAGTTACAACATACATCATAGTATGTTGTGTCAAAAATATCATCATTCCTATATCTCCTTTCAACTCGTTTTGCATTTCTAGTCTCCAGTAGCAATAAGATAATTCTATATTTTTGTCGTCGCCTTAAATTTTCTATTCCATTTCCCGTAACAGTAAGTAATCTCAATATTTCGTTTTCATTGTTGTAAATCCCAGAATTGAAACTTTCAGAGCTCTCGAGCTTATCAAGATGAACGTCCTGCTTAAGTCGAAGGAAGGTGAGGTTTTCAAAGTGTCAGTTAGGATCATGAAATGTGCTTCTAATATAATGTGGATGACTGAGAAATATAAAATCGAGGGCCCGTTTCCATTGCACCGCATTAGCTCAATGATTTTGCACAAGATCATATCTTGGGCAGATTACCACAAGAATGACCCTTTGCCAATGGATGATGACAATGAAGATGAGGACACCGAAGGCGATATTGATCCTTGGGATGCCAAATTGCTTAACGTTGACGCGGCTACTATGTCTGAAATTGTGGAGGCGGCCGATTGCTTGGGCATCAAGGCTCTATGCGCCACCTGTAAGGCTCTGACCAAAACGCTTAAAAAGAAGAAAACCTCAAACTAGAGAAATACGATACACTAAGCCACGGAGTCTGACACAGTTGTTAATTATTTTGTTTATATTTTATTTAACCAGCATGCACGGTAAAAAAAAATATATATAAAAATATTTATATATATATAATCATAATTTTAATTCTGAGAATACTCTTAACCTATTAACCAACCCAATTTGTGTAAATTTTCAAATAGCAAACTTTAAGAAGGACAAGTTAATGGGGAAAACAAATATAAAGCACCGGAAATTCAAGGCAATTTCCCTTCTTTCAGTTTTTATGATCATTTACATATTTTACGGAAAAGTTGAAGCAGAGACAAACTATGTAGTGCAACTATTTCTATAACTTATTAACGACAACTAGAACTGCGCCGCACATTCAAAAGCAAATAAAATGGCACAACAATGAAAAGGAGGCTTTATTATTTTGTTGTTTTCATTGAAAAATGATCGCAGAAATTAAAGAAAAATTACAAACAAAAATTCTGACATAACTACAACTCTCGAATTAATTTTCATTATTAACAGTAGACAATTTGTGTTTTTTTTTTAATGGCAAACAATAGAAATGAAACCCCCCGTTGATTTAATTTGTGTTTCAGCTATTGCTGGGTCTTTGAACTTTAAGGGAGAAACAATATGTAACCCGCGGAGTTTCGTTTAATCAAGCCAAGCGATAAGGTCAAAGATCAAAAACCCCAAAATAATTAAAGGATTTTTTTTTTGTATTAAGTTATGATTCATGGTACATTTTGCTTAAACAAGAGAAATAAGTCAAAAATAGCAAGAAATATAAACGACAGGCAGCCGCAATAATAATTTGAGCTAAAACACATGTAATTACCCGCAAACAGATAGACGGACACAGCAGCAGATTGTTCAGATACTAGTCTCTATAATTGCCCCATTGTAATTGCATTGTCAAAGTTGCTGTTTGTAGATTTTTTTTTCATGAGGGAAACGAAATCAACTCAAGTGTGTCAAGTCATTCAAGGCGATATTTATATATAAAGGCCAATAAACCAAAGATAAGCAGATTTGAAAAGAGATAAACTTGAATGCTGGCAAATCATAAAAAAAAAATAATAAAAATTAAATTTAAAAAAATAATAGTAAACTAACATGCCTAATGAAAAGATTGTAACTAACTACTGTTTAGACCTGTGTAGACCTTGACTACTCCGTCGTTGCTCATATAGAAAAAACACCATATAACGACCTATATCATCTTATCAGCAATTGAACCGATAGTTAAACTGAAGGTTAAGCGATAGCCAAAACATAAAGATATAGGTTTAAAACCGTCTTAATTATATTTCAAGTGAGTTTGAATTTAGAAGAGTTATTTATGTATTTGTAATATTATCTCAATAGGCATTCATGGAAAAGTTACAGTGTAATAAGGAAACAAAATTATTTAAAAATTATTTAAAATTTTTGTAAATATTTGCACTGCATTTTATTATATTTAAATATATGTTAAATATTTATTATAAATATTTTAAATATATTTTTTATATTTATTATATATATTTTATATTTATCATATATATTTTATATTTATTATATATATTTTATATTTACTATATATATTTTATATTTACTATATATATTTTATATTTATTTAGTTTTCAGATTAATGTATATAATTTTTTTTTTCTGGTTACCGCCCCCTAAAAACCGAAATCCACTTCGATTGATGTAATTTTGTTGCCTGTTTTGCTTCTGCTTTTTTTTCTGATTGTTCAGACATCGTTTTAATACTTTTACCGTTGCTTTGCTCATTACACGCCTGTTCTGCCTTTAGTTTCCCCTTCGCCTCCACCAAATCTTAACATTATTTTCGTTTTTTATTATCGGTTTTTTGTTTTATTTTGGAATTTGATTCTCGGCCGAGAGAATACTTGTAGTGCAAAACAATCAATTTAATTGTTATCAAGAAGCAAAGTAAAAGAGGCAACAACAAAATTGTTAAGTATAGTCAATAAAGCCGGCAAACGATTCTCCGTGATATCATCGTTTTTCCCTCCTTCCCTTTTTGCCTTTTATTTGATTTATTTTTTATTGTTATCGAGAAGCGGAAAAAAGTAATACAAGTGGTTTCTTTTGTCAGGTAAAAGTTTAATGCGTTTTTTTTATATATTAATTATAATTGATTTAATATTTTTAAAGTTTTATTTCTAGCTTATACCCGGTTTACCACTATAAATATACTATCTTTCATAACTTTCCTATTTTTAGTAAAGGAAAAACTATTTTCCTTCCATTTCACTGTTATAATTAGTAACTTGCACGCTTTTTCTATTAATATTTTATGTTTCTTTATATTTAAAAATAGTTTATCCTTATTTTACGTTGAACTTGGATTCTTCTTTTAATAAGAATAATTGCCATGGACACAAGAATTCAAAAATAAACTTGGTCTTCGCTCGTTATTTAATTATAGTTCCGTAATCCTTGCTTTGGCACAACCTTTTTTAATTAGCCAGCTTATAGTTCACCCCTTTTTATTCTTGGCCACTTTTAATTGGCCCAACTAAGTGCAGCCTTTTCGCTGGCTATCTTTGGAACAACTGAGAGTATGGATTTGTAGCTCTGGCTTAAACGTTCGCTCCCATTCATTAAAACAAACTGCAATTAATTCGACAAAATTGAAACTCAATACGATTTTCCGATAAGATTTCATTAGTGCAAGCTATAAATAATTATTTTAGATGAATAAATATTTGTATGTGTAAATATAGTCATAAACAAGGGGGAGAATGTCTTTAAACTTTACTAAAAACCACAATATTTAACATGTAATATTAAGCAATGAACCTAAATAATTGTAAATAGTCACATTTAATTTTTGTATATATTTATTTGCTTTAATTGCTAACTAAATATAATTATTTATTTTAAAATCTCCAAAAGAAAGTCTTAAGTATTTAATTAAAGTTTTCATTGAATTAGTTTTTATAAACAAAAAATTAAAACGTAGTTATCAAAGTTAAAAAATCTTTTTTAAAAAAGTGTTAACCTATCTATTTACTACTTTTTGATATATTTACAGCCGTCTCTCTTTCCAGTTGCATTATCTTTCGTTTTATTTACAGTGTTCACCTGTCATTACAATTTATTTCTTTTTTTTTTTCATGATAGCTATTCCGACTTCATATCTGGCCAGATAATGAGTTTTATTTTATATATACGATATGACCCAACTTGGAATCGATATACAAAAAAACAACAACCAAAGTAAAATCGAGAAAGACACACGCGGGGGCCTCCAATTACGTGCAATTACATTTATACATTTCTTTTAAACAAAAAACAAAAGAAAGCGAGACAAAAAAATAAATAAATAAATTACAGATAATGCCGGTATACTATATGTATTGACTCCCATTTTTATTTCTTTGTCTATCAAATTCGCGGAATAAAAGTCGATAAAAAGCCGATATATGTGGTCTGTACATTAAGCTGACACGAGAGCGAAACAAAAGTACAATGCAAACAAACAGCGATATCAGCGATAAATCATTCATATGCTGGATCTAGTATATATGTATATATGTACACTCTCTATATAGCTGGGAAGCTACCGATCAGATTGCCGGGGCAATCTAACAAGATATTAACCTCTAAATGGGTGACTTGTTATAAAAAACCAAGCTAGGAAAGTATCTGAGCTGATTTTAAGGTTTAATAAAATATATATAATCGGAATATGTAAAAACAAAAATTTTAAAGGGATTTCAAATTCCTTTGCAAGGCATCTAAAAGTCAAGACATCCTTAAAGCATATAATTTTTAGCCTTAAAATTTGTATTGCATACTTTTAGACATCTTTTTTAAAGGATTCCAGTTCCAGTAGTGTTCTATATATATTCGTATTTTAATATAAAAAATAAATCACAGCGACAGTTTATATGTATATATGTCAACACTCTCTCCAGACCTCGTTCAAACACCGACCTAACCCAATTGGATCACAAACAAGCACATTTCGCCGCCGTAGCAGTATCAAAGGTTATCGCCACCTCTCGGAAACCCAACAAATCTGATCGAAGGAATCCATCAAAACAAAAACAAGCTGGGAAACATGAGGAAAAGTCGGTGAGAATATGAAAAATATTGTGGCAGACGTGCACATCAAAGGCCAGACAACCGACTGCCGATCCCGAGTATTAAGCACACCTAAACATATACCTCCTCCACTGGCTATACTATATTGGAACTGTCCCCTCTTTATCAGGGGTTACGGCCCCCTTCGGGGCGATGGTGTTTCCCTCCTCCCACGGGAGCGTGTGTGTGAGCCATTCAACTTGTTGCCAAGTGTCGCCGCCGATTCGGAATCGGAATAGCCATCATACACTTGCACAAAAAGCAACAAAAAAAAAAAAAGTAAAAAAAAAATAATACGAAAAGAGCAGGCAAAACAGCCCACAAATACACAGGGAAATAGCAATGTACCCAGGGCAGGCCAGCGATTTGTGTGTCTGTCTTGGCCTGGCGTCACTCACAATTTCAATTTCCATTTTATTTTCTTTTGGTGGAAGTGCGACCAACCTAGGGGTATATCGAATTCTATGATTATTTGGGAAATTATTTTTAATATTAAGTATTTTTCTTGAATTCTTTTAATTGTGAAGGTAAAGTACTTTAATTTTGTTTAAAACCTGAACAAATAAATCCTAGAAAACTTTTTGAACATGGAAAAAATTTAACAAATGTTTTTAATTAGAATTAGAAAAAACCTTAACTCTATATTGCTCGTTCTTTTTATTTTCTTGAAAAAACGTGTGGTGTTTAAGTGGTGTTTAAAGTTTAGTAAAATCCAAATCCAAAATTTAAGGATAAATCTGTATTTCAAGTTCACAAATTATATGGTTTTACAGGGTAATATTACGATCGAAAGCAAAAACAAGTCTTGATTACTTTCCATGCTCAATTTTGTTGTATTTTGTTGCTACGTTTATTTTCGAATTGTTTATTTAATGTTCTTGCAGCGTCGTCCGTCGGTCGATCGTTTGTTTGTTTGTGTTATGTGTTTTATGTCTTTTTTCCCGCACAGTTTTCCTTCCTCTATTATCAGCTCATGGGTAGTAGGTAAGGTGGATAAAAAAGAGGGCGGCGGCGGCGCTGCAGGAAAATTATTGGTCCAGCTGAGAGACTCGAACGCCTTGCCTTGCCATGCCCTGGACTTGCCTTGCCTTGCCTTAATAATCTAATTTCTGACAACTGACGGCAAATCAATAAATGAAGTGGAAAATGGAAACATCATCATCTTGTTATTCCTGCGCCCCCTCTCGGAGAAAGAGACAGGAATAGACGGAGACAGAGAGGGGAATCAGCTACCTTGACCTCATTCAACGACCTTTTTTCTTCTGCTTTTTTGTTCAGAGATGAGAGGGGAAATCTATATGTTTTCCCGAGGGACGCGAAGTGGAAAACTGCTTGCGTGCTAAGCTTTTTCTTCTTCTCAAATTCGTGTGTGTGTTTAGTTGCCTTGTATTATATCATCATTAAACGGTTTACCGCCAAAAAATATATAAAAGAAAATAAATAAAATCAATGAAAAACCACAGAATCGACTCTCAATCGAGGCAAATAGTACAAAAGTTCTTGAACTCTCTTCCACTTGTCAATTGTTGAAACAAATAAAGAAATAAACTTGGGTTAGAAATGGGCCGCAAAATATACAAGCAAATACGAAAAAAAAAAAAAAAAAAAAAAATAGAAAACAGCTAAAGAATTAGTTCAAAGAAATTAAAATAAAAAGAACAAATTTTGGAATTAAATTTGTTTTAAGTAAAAAAAACAGGAATTAATTTAAATATGAGAATATACTTGAAATTTCAATAATATATGTACATACAAATTTTCAAAAATAAAATTAAAGTTAAAAAATAAATAAAAATTAAAAATAAATAAATTAAAAATTTAAAAATTAAATTAACTAATAATGAAATAAGGTAATGAAAACTTCAATAAAACTATTCCCCAGCTAAGGTAATAACACCATGTAACATAAGACTCAACATGTTTTATATGTTTATTTATAATTTTAAAACAAATTTGTTTTTTCCAGTGCATAACAACTGGCAAAAGAAGAAGCAAAGGCAACATCCCAGGAATGTTCATTACAGAATGTTGTGCCAAGAACATAAGCAAATATTTTGGGGAATGTTAGAGCCACACAACCAGGAAGAGAAGCAGTATGTACTTTATGCTAAAAAGTACTTTAATTTAAGCTAAAAGAAAGACTTGTAACATGAACTAGCTACTCAACATCCCATTTATCAGATAATTTTCTTGGTTTAAACAAGGCTTTTCTTATATATTTTTGTTTTGGCTTAATATCAGCATAAATGATTAATTAAGCTCCAAAATCCCACATATCTGGTATTACCATATTCTTATTTATTCGTACGACACGTACATATGTGTACATATTGCGTATATATTCCGTTTTTCAATCATTATCTGTGCATTCTTCGAGTATGATTAATGATTGTTCGTGTAGATCTTTCTTTTTCTGGCTCTTTGACAAATGTAATTTAAGCGAATTAATAATAAATTCGTGTAAACATTGTCGTTTTCTTCTTCTTCCCAAGAGTATTCAATGACGTAAACGTTTGAATAAACTCAAAGATTTGTCACAAGATTGTGTCATTGAGAAATACTATATAATATCCACGATAATCATGATCATATAATGCATTTCTAAATTAAATGTTCAATTCACGTAACTTTTTCTTTAATTCCCAAATCCATTGCCACTCGCCTTAGATCGAAAGAAAAACCATCTAGGAACCCAGAATAGGCTAAACCAAAGAGTGAAAATATATAGATATATGTACATATATACAAAACAAACACAGGGCAGAAAGAATAAACAAAACCAACAGTTCTAAAGTAAACAAAAAATATAAAACGGCAATAACAGAAAATGATATTGTACGCGCGCGTAGCTGATATAAAACCTAAAAGGAGGGGAAAGAATGTGGTTCGACCCTCGGCAACGACAGAAAAATAATTCGAAAAAATATATATGTATGTACCAAAGGAGAGGAAGATCGAGAGGGAGGGAGGAGGGGGATTTTGTGCACTATGCAAATGACCTGCCCCACAATGGCATCGTCCCACTCGGCATTGTTTCCGCCCCCATTCCCTCCCCCCGTCTTTGGCAGCATTTAATTTGCAATTATTCAGGCCTTTGACCAATTTATTAGAGAGTCCCAGTCTCGGCCAAGCAAAACAGAAAAAACCAGAAAAGAAACTTGTATGGCACACAACACACTTGATGAACGAAATTATTTCTCTCTATGTAGGGAGAAAGAGTTTTATAGAACCGAATTGCCCTTTAAATTGTTTTAAAATTATTTTGAATAGATCCTAAACAAAAACAAGGCTCGATTTAATTTAATTTAATTCTTAATTTTAATTAATTAAAATGAATTAACCGCAACTTTTGAAAACACTTTCTTAAAAGGTATATTTAATAACCCATAAACGGGAGTGGAGAAAACAGTCCACTTTATAGTCGCTGTTGTGTTGCTGTTATTGTTTTTTTTTTTTTTTTTTTTTTTTTTTTTTTGTTAAATTATTATTATTATTATTGTTGCTCATTGACATGGATTCTTCGAGTTCAATTGGAAGTGAACTGTAAATGTCGAATTATCGCAGACGCAAGATCTTTGCACCGACTTCTCTCATTTTATGAAGTAGATTCTGTGTACTTCACTTTTATTTTGTATTATTCGTTTTTTCCTTTTGTTTCTTTTTCGAGTTTTTCTGTAATTTTTTCTTTGCTTTTTGATGACTCTTCCAACATTTGATTTTTTTTTTTTTTTTTGAATCTTAATTGAAAATTGCTTTTAGGTCTCACTGGTTACGTGACTATTTGCATGTTGCAATAACAACAATGTACATATACTATTCATTCATTGTCCCTCTTTCACACTCTGCCTAAATAACGTTTTCCAGTTTCGAATTATGAAAAATCCCCACATAAAAAAAAAATAAATTACTCGAGGCTGTATTGTTGTTAGTTTGTTGATAAATTGCAAAGTCATTTTTTCGGTGCATCACAAAACTCAATTAGAGAGGCGGAGAGGGCGGGCTTGGCTTCCAGTTGCACTTGCAAGTTTTTCGTTGTTCATAGTTCATGATTTTTCTTTTTTATTTAAATTTTGTTTTGTGAGAAGCTTTGGGCCATGAACTGAAACCTTTGGTGTGGAAAAGGGGCGAAGGGCGGCTGGTTAAACCTGAGATTTAAGATTTCCATTTAATAGTTTGAAATCATGACAAGAGGTTTTTCTTTATTTCTCAAAAAGAAGATTCTTTATAATTAATAAATATAAAAAAGCATATAGTACATTTCCTATTTAAAAAAAAGAGGAAACTGTTCTCTATTTACCTTATTAATGCGTTCTTTGACTGGAATTGTCCTATATCCAACGGTGTTATTTCAACTTCTCTAAGTGGAAGTCAAGCTGAAAATAAGCCAAATAAAAGAAAGGTTAGATAAATGCAAAATGGGGATTAAATAGAAAGTGTAATAATACATAAAACTAAATTAAATTAATTTACAAATTGCAAAGAAATATTCAAGGAAATCCCATAAGGGATCGAATCTCTGCTGCTGGTATTAAAAGCATTATTATCAGATCACTTACGAACCAACCGAACCCCCTTATAAGCCCTCAACTTATCCCTGAACTTATCATATCAGTTACGAGTCCTGTAAGTAATCCCTTAACTGGCTTCCATTCATCTTCAGGCCAGATTTTGACAATGTGATGGATGGCCTTTTTTGTGACTCTCCAAGGATTATTTTTGACCGATGTAGTAATCCGAAAAGTGTTTGATTCTAATTCTAATGGGATCTGCTGTTCAGAAGGAGGCTTGTGTGTTCCGGGGTTGATTTTGCTAATCAACCTGATTGGATTTGGTTTTTATGCAATTATCTTTGTCATTTTAGATCTTATTAGATTTGGTTGGTTGGAAAAAGGGTTTAAAAGGGTTTTTAGAGGATGCTAACGGGGGTTGCTATAAGGTCTTTATGATCCCAAAATATTAAACTTTTTCAGTGGCCACTTTTAAGATTAATAAACGGACATAACACATGTTTTAATTTTCGAATATTCTAAGAAATTAATATACTCTGATTCCAGCAAATTATAAAACACATTTAAGGTGTTTTAATCTATCGCTTGTTCGCCCTTTCGGGCTGAAGCTCGTCTCAAGTGTTTACTGTACGCGAAAGCGAAAACAATGGAAATCTGTACGGACGGAAGGCATACACATATTCTTACCATATTCGTAGGGGGTGTGTGTGTATATTTAATTTCATAATGAAGGCTCCAAGTGCATACTCATGTTAAAAATAGCAGAGGTCTGGGTCTGGGTCTGAGCCTGGTCTTCTGGAAGTACTCACACCCACAACCATAACCACCCACCCACCACCACCGCCCCCTGAATCACTTTCAGCACCAGATTGCATCCACTTTAAAATCCATTTATGAATGAGAAACAACAAAGGGTGGCGGTGGCGCATTGGACCTTTTGGGTTCCGCGAGGCTTCTGGGGGTTCTTTCCTTCCTTATATTTTTTTTTGTTTTTGTATTTGGACAGAGGGTTGGTTTTTGGGAGATCCAGCGGGGGGGACTTTCCTGCCCTGCTCATTTCACGCATGCAACTGGGAGTGGAAATCCCACCGAGCTGAAAACCTTCATAATGAGTATTCAAAATGCAATTCACAGACGACAGAAAATGGGGAGTAGAAACAAGGCTGTGGGGGTAATGTTGGGCGGGATAATGGGGTTGGGTTGGGTTGTGGGGGGTGGACAGGAAGAGGGTTGCATATGTGTCGTACAGGGGTTGCTGCAAACATATGCATAATCCCAAGGATTTATGTACAGAGGCAAAAAAAATTTTTTTAATTTAGTAGTAATGTGTTTCTAAATATTTAAAAATAAATTTAAAAAAAAAATATTATACATTTCTCTGACCAAGTTTTATTTTATTTACTTATACTTATAAGTTCACTTTTGCCGATTTGATAAGAAAATATTAGAGTTTAATAAAATAACACTTTCCAAATGGGTATAAGTAATTATTACTCTCTTTTTTTCTCTGTGCAACCCCACTCTTATTCGTTGTTGATGTTTTTTTTTTTAGTATTTAGATTTAAAATTTGGTACAGTTTCAGTTTCAAGTTGTAAAGACAAACACTGCGGGGCACTGGTAAATTGGATACAACTCTCGATCCCTTTCGCACACTCTCACTCTCTCTCTGTCTGGCCTGCCTGTCGCTCTCTCTTTCACTTGCATTCGGTAGACTGCAGTTCAATGCAATCTGCCAAAAGAGAAAGAGAGAAGGGGATGTGAAGAGAGCTGAAGCTTAAGCTGTAGAAAACGGATAGAGAGGATGCACTTTGTTACAATGAGAAATGATTTTTGTACCGTTACATTTAAAAATTTTGAAAGGTTTCCAAAAATTGTAAAAGGTGTGACCACATTAAGGAAAATAAATAGTGTTTAATAGTACTTCAGGTACATTATCCATAATTATTTCCGAAAATAAAATATTATGTAAAGAATATTGTTCTAAGCTTTATTAAATATATATGTAGGTGGTTATGCCCTTAAATTTTAATTAATTTCATTTTTCGTACCCATTAAAAATGTCTCTCAGCCACAATTCATGGAAAAACTGTTCGAAACAGATGCATTTTCTTAATTTCCGGAAAGGCGACAGTGACATGTAATCAGTGGCGATTAAGCCACGTTTTTTATAAGAAAAGATTAACTTTTAGAAAAGGTTTAAAAAGAAAGTGACACAATAAAAACTTATCTAAATTCAAATTCACAAATTAATTAAAGTTTTACAATTATTTACCAAGAAATGCTTCGTTTATATTTTAAATTTGGTTTTCACTGTCTTGGGCTTTCAACCCTGGCTTCCTTTTCTGTAATGTTTTTTTTTATGATTACACAAGGGGAAGACCCATCGGAATCAAGGGGCTGGAGGGGCAGAGAGAGAGAGAGAAAAAGATAGAGAGAAGGAGACAGTTCAAGGACCAGGCCACAAAACAGGCCGCAAAACGCATTGCAAACCGGCTTAAGTTTCAGCATTAAAATCAAGTCAGTGCCAAGTCACGGGAACACAGAAAGAAATTTATATATATTAAATATTTAAAAATATTCTTAATATATGTATATCTTTTATTTATATTTAACATTATCACAAAAATAGCTTTTAAAAGCGAGTCATTTTAAATTCTGAATTTTCATATAATTTCAAATTAATTGGAAATAAACTAATAAAAAGTTAACTCCATATTTTATTTTAAGTGCACACAGTATACATATACACACACATCGATGCAATATTGTATAAAGGAGAAGGAGAAGAAGAAGAAGCAGGAGCTGCAACTTCAAGGCTCCTTGACTTGTCATTGTTGTTGTTTCTCTTTCAGTTATTGTTGTTGTTTTTGTTGTTATCTGTCGCATCCTCCGCAGAAGTCGTTACATTGTGAAAATAGAGAGAATCATGATGGGTAAGAGCGATAGAGAGAGATAGACTAAGAAGATGAAATGGAGAAAGGATGCTAGATAGGGAGAGAAGATGGGTGCCCTGCAGAAGAAACGGAAATTGCACACATAAAGTCAAGAGAGTTCTCCCTTTCGGCCACTTCACTCGCTTTCTCTCTCACACACTCTCTATTACTCTCGCTCTATCTCTTTTTCCCTTTCTATGCATCTAGCATCCTTAAAGATACTTCTTCGAAGCCAAGTTCAAATCTCCACTTGAAGAAATTGAAGATGCATTGTTTGTATAAGCTTTTGTATAAACTATTATGATAGAATGATCCCGAATACCCTAGTCTTTTCAAAAAGCCAAAAGATATGTATTACATTTCAGAACGCGTTCCATTAATGTAGTAATATATATATTGCTAGCTCTTTTTGGACTCCAATCCATTACATTATAGATTCTTCTTAAACAGTACCTGGAGCGTATAGAATAATATGAATCGACCAGACCAGTTTAATATCAAACACTCGCTCTGATAGTGGTGCCTTGCCCCCATTCTGGTGACAATATTAACCATTTTAACTGATAATTATACAATTTGATAAGATTACAAGCCCAGGTTCCTTTTCTCACAACTTGAACTGGTCTCGCAACACAGTCTATTTGTGCTCAGTGTACCGAGGGATTCCCTTGCTTTATTGCAATAGATGCGAATGCAATTGGCAAAAGCTTTTATCTATTGATTCACTTAAACGCAATTTCCTGTGCACTTCAAGGAAAACGCACAGGCAAAGGCAAAGGAAACAGGGCGGTGCTGGGAAAAGGAAGGAAATCAAGTTATCTGTGCGATGCAATCCTCGCAGAATGAATGCAATCTACTTAGCTGGAATCGAATTGAGATTATTGAATGAGAAGAGAGTCATTGGGAGGAAAAAAAAAAAGAAATGCAAGGAAGTTGCAAAAAATCGACGGAAGACTTGGGTGATATCTCTATACTTGAACTTTACTGGGGCAGATTCTTGAACATTCTTCACATTTTATTTTCTTAGTAGGTTTTACAGGTACTTCTTCACCTCAAGGCTCTTTTTTGCAGTATGTTTAACAATTTACTTTTATGATTCAGAACAGAAAAATATCTGAAAGCTGGTTTTGAATGCACTTCCGCGGAATTAATATTCATTCATACTTGCGCACTTCATTTTCCGGCCAATCCTTTCCCTTTTTTTTCTTATTCGTTTTTATTTACTCTCTGAAAACTCCTAAGCTCGTTTCCTTGAGCGAAGCTTTAGTGAATGCACTACATCTCCGTTTTCCTCCCCCTAATTTGAATGTCACCACCCCGACGACTACTAATACCTTACACAAAATACCACCCCCCTTTTCCTCGTCGCTTTTCCCAACCAGCTTTTCCTCGCCTTGCCTTTCCCGCTCTTCAGCTTTCTGCTCTTGACAATTACGATCGATATTTTACTGCCCTGCAGCTGTGCTTACCGCTCCTTGTTATTGTTGTTGTTGTTACTGTCGCTTGTTGTCGTTGTCACCGGTGAACATTAACAGTTAACAGAGACGCTAAGCATACACTAAAGAAAATAGGGGTCACACTTTTGTAAAAAGTTTAATTAAAAATCCTCATTGTTATATATTTTTTTAAGCCTTTTGCAACAGGTGTCTTACATATGCTTAGGTATATAATCACAAGACTAACAAATTACTGACCCAAAGTTAGTAAATGTTAACACAATGTTAAAGAAGTTAACCCACAATCTTTGACATAAATCAATAACTGTTTAGACTACTTATTAAAACTAATAATAGCAGACTTGATAATGGTTTTATTATGATAAAATAGTTCTGGATTTTCGCTTTATTATTTTATTTTTTACTCTGTATACCTTGGGTTTTTTTTTTTTGTGACTTTTGTTTTTACTCTAGTTTTGTTTCATTTTTTTTATT